GTCAAACGGGAATATTTTGAAAGGGAGTTTTGGAATGTGGACAGGAAGCGCCAAAAGTTGTGCTTCAGAGGATGTGTCCACAAGCTGCCGTCACAGTATACCGAGATTGTCGGCGACAAGACATGGAACACCCTGTCAGAAGAGACACTCGAACGAGCATCAGCTGCGTGGTCATGGCTAATTCACTACAATGATGCAAGACTGGCATCTCAGCATGTTCCCTTGCGTGCTGGGAAGTTTAGCAGCCTTGCAGCCCCTTTGAAGATCTTGAACCATGTCTTGGATTTGACATGCTATCTCTCTCTTGGGGCAAAAACCTGGGCTGCTCTCATGTGGCCAGTGGTCCAGCATGAGGACCAGTCGACAGGAGAGATATATTTTGTTTTGAAGGCAGAGTGCCCGGATGGTTCCAGCGTCAAGGCCTGCTGGATTCATTTGTATGAGCCCCAGTATTGGGAAGTCATCGAAACAGAGGCAGTCTTCTGGAATGGCTTCATTTGCCTCCGTCGTTGTGCTACAAGCTCAGTGTCACTTCTATCCTATATGTTGCAGCATCCCAAGTGACATGTTTTCATTTAGGATTCTGTCAACTGTCGACCCATACAGTAAATAGTACAATAAACTTATATAAGTTTTGCTGTGCTTGTTTTTGCTGACTCGACTGAGGGAAATGTCACAAGCATGTCGGACTCTCGCAGACTGCCAGAATCTCGCCGAGCATGTGATCTCCCAGACTGGAAACGTAGACGAAAAAAAGCGAAAGGAGCTGCAACGAATGCGCCGTCCAAAGCTCATGAGCCTGATCGCTTCTCATCACCTTCCGGAAGATGAGGATTTCATGCGCAAAATTGAGGCTATGTATTCGACAGCCAAAGATTCAACAGAGGATGAGGATGAGGATGACATTATCATGGGGGACTTTGTTGATGAGCTGGTTCTTGACGACCTGCTTGCTGAGGACAAACAGGAATTTAAAATGGTCTCAGACGCAGTCAGAAAACGCAGAATCAAAAGGGTGCATCAAACCTGGCAGGCCATCAAGACGCAGCAAGCAAAGGCCAAGGCAAAGGGCAAGGCCAAAGCAAAGACCAAAGCAAAGGCCAAGCCACAGGCCAAACGGAAAGCCAAGAGAAAGATTTGTCGCCCACGTATGTTGCCCAGGAAGCAACCCGCGCCTCCTGATGAAAGTGGTCAAGAGGGAGCAGAAGGCAGAGTGCCAGCACCTCCTGCTGAGGTGCCGGTGGAGCCGGAGCCTGATAATCACGTGGAGGCCGCGGAAGGCAGAGTGCCAGCCCCTCCTGCTGAGATGCCGGAGGTGCCTGCTGCAATCCCTGTCCCAGAGCCTGATGATCACGTGGAGCCCGAGGAAGGCAGAGTGCCAGCCCCTCCTGCTGAGATGCCGGAGGTGCCTGCTGCAATCCCTGTCCCAGAGCCTGATGATCACGTGGAGCCCGAGGAAGGCAGAGTGCCAGCCCCTCCTGCTGAGATGCCGGAGGTGCCTGCAGTGCCTATCCCAGCACTCGAGCCACGGGAGGTTGCAGTCCGTGGCCCCCAACATCAGCGGCGGCCGAACCGTGTTGACTACCAAGGGGTATGGACACCTGTTCAATGCCCGGAGTGTCCCAAGATCGCTGGTGAGATGAAGTACGACCCGAATCCTGGTGGCACTGACAAAGCAAAATGGTTTCTCCGAGTTCGTGTGACAGACGGCGGTCTCTTGGAAAGATTCGGAACATTTGTTATAGCTTCGATGTGGTTGCCTGATCTGCTGTGTGTTGTGTCACATTACATGAACCCATGTGTGTCTGGCATTGAAGGCGAGTGGAGCCACCTCGTACCCTATCACTGGGGACGTGTGGCTTCCAAGATGACAGAAGCGCAGGCCAGACAACACGTCATTGACCATAGGCCCTGTTGTGGCCCGACCAGGAGGCCTGGCAACAACTAGAGGATTCATCCTGCGCTGCAAAGAAAAGTTGTGTGTCTGTCTGTGTGCTTGCATTGATGGCAGCGGGTCCTGCTAGATTGGAATGCGTCCGAGAGACTGTGTGTTTCTGCTTGGGGAAGACGGATTGCGAAAGCATGTTCGCATTTTCACACATGTGGAATTTGTCACGTGCAAGCACATGGACAATCATTTCGAGTGCCACAACCCGGAAGCCGCACAAACTAGCACATGTGGTTTGAAGCCGTGCGTGCTTGTGACTGAACAGTAGCCGTCCAGAGCAATGCATTTCGCCCCGATCGAACGAGGAGAGTGTTTCTTCAGAGGCGAGCTCTCCCCAATCTTGATCAAAACCGCTTGCGAAAAATTGGCCAAAGCGCCTGACCAGTGGAAACCAGCTGAGAGATGGAAGGAAGTTTATGACGACGTGCCTTGGGAAATCATGGTTCGCTACCTGCGTTACTGGCCACGTATTGGCTCCCGCATTACAGGAGGCCTCAGGCTTCTTCGACGGTACCAAGGCCCCTTCCCGAAGTGTTATCAGGTGGGTGAAGGAGAAGAACCGCTGGAGTTGCCGCGCGTTTCTCTCGTTTGTGATTTTGTTTATGTTTGGAACGACGAAGATGAACAACAACGGCAGTTTGTCCTTCAGATGAAACACCTCTCACTTGTTGCCATCCGTCTCGGTGGTCCGGGGAACTTCCTGACCTTGATGCTGGAGCAATACCTTTGACCGACCAGCTGAGTGCAAAGTTGGGGTGGCAATAATTAATGGATCTTGAGGCGGGAAGGCAGAGTGCCAGCAGCTGGGAAGGCAGAGTGCCAGACGTTGTCGCGTCACCCAGCTGTACCCTGCTTCGCCTGCACGTGATTCGCTTGACAGTGTGGTCAACGCAGAAAAGCGCAACATCCAGCAGTTCGTAGCCACTTCACGCGATTTGTGCATCCCTAATACTATCAAACCCTAAAACTATGGCACTCTGCCTTCTAGCCCCAAACCCTAAATACTAAAGACCCTGAAACTCTAACCCTAACCCTTTCATTACCCTCAAACCCTAACACTATGGCACTCTGCCTCCTAACCCCAAACCCTAAATATACTAAAGACCCTGAAACTCTAACCCTAACCCTTTCATTACCCTCAAACCCCTAATACTATGGCACTCTGCCTTCTAACCCCAAACCCTAAATATACTAAAGACCCTGAAACTCTAACCCTAACCCTTTCATTACCCTCAAACCCTAACACTATGGCACTCTGCCTGCTAACCCCAAACCCTAAATACTAAAGACCCTGAAACTCTAACCCTAACCCTTTCATTACCCTCAAACCCTAACACTATGGCACTCTGCCTTCTAACCCCAAACCCTAAATATACTAAAGACCCTGAAACTCTAACCCTAACCCTTTCATTTCCCTCAAACCCCTAATACTATGGCACTCTGCCTTCTAACCCCAAACCCTAAATACTAAAGACCCTGAAACTCTAACCCTAACCCTTTCATTACCCTCAAACCCTAACACTATGGCACTCTGCCTTCTAACCCCAAACCCTAAATGTAATAAAGACCCTGAAACTCTAACCCTAACCCTTTCATTACCCTCAAACCCCTAATACTATGGCACTCTGCCTTCTAACCCCAAACCCTAAATATAATAAAGACCCTGAAACTCTAACCCTAACCCTTTCATTACCCTCAAACCCCTAATACTATGGCACTCTGCCTTCTAACCCCAAACCCTAAATATAATAGAGACCCTGAAACTCTAACCCTAACCCTTTCATTACCCTCAAACCCCTAATACTATGGCACTCTGCCTTCTAACCCCAAACCCTAAATATAATAAAGACCCTGAAACTCTAACCCTAACCCTTTCATTACCCTCAAACCCCTAATACTATGGCACTCTGCCTTCTAACCCCAAACCCTAAAGACCCTGAAACTGTAAACCCTGTGCCAGGTCTTCTTCATCCTCGTCTTCTCGGAAAAAACATTAAAAAATGTAGTTTTTTTTTTGTGTGTGTTTTAAAGTTTTTAAAAATTTTTAAAAGTTGTTTAAAGTCTTTAAAAGTCTTTCAAATTCTTTTTAAAGTTTGTAAAAGCTTTTAAAAGCGTTTAAAAGTCTTTTAAAGTCTTTTTAAAGCTTTTAAATGTATTTTAATGTTTTTAAAAGTCTTTTAAATATTTTAAAAGCCTTTTAAAGTTTTGAAAAGTCTTTTAAAGTTTGCAAAAGTCTTCTAAAAGTTTCTAAAAGTCTTTTAAAGTCTTCTAAAAGTTTTTAGAATGTTTTTTCTTGCATTTGAAAGTTTTTAAAAGTCTGTAAACGTCTTTAGAAGCCAACTCTGTCGAAAAAGCCCTGTGGATCTAAACCTTGTGGTTCTGGTTCGGTGCAAAAGGGCAATGACTAAACCCGTAAACCCAGGCCCCTAAGCCTAGCCCCAAGCTGGACATCCAGCGACCCACAGTTTTTTTTGGGTTATGCCCCGATACTTAATCAAAGGCGAAAAGGAGGGACCCTTAATGGGGACCCCTACCCTATAATGGGGCTGTATAATGGGTATATAATAGCTATATTAAGGGTATATACCTAGAGGTCCTTAGTAAGCGTCCCTCCTTTTACCCTTGGACTTAAGGGTCAGAGACTACAGTTTTGTAGGGTCTGGGCCTGCCCGCAGGAAGACCTTAATTTCAACAGGGTTTAGGGTTCAAGGTTCAGGGTTCAGGGTTTACTTTTCAGGGTTTAGGGTTCAGGGTTTGGGGTTTAGGGTTTAGGGTTTAGGATTCAGGGTTCAGGGTTTAGGGTTTGGGGTTTAGGGTTCAGGGTTTAGGGTGTAGGGTTTTTGGGGTTTAGGGCTTAGCTCCTTTTTGGTGAAACCCAGGCAAGACCAGTCCAAAGGACCAGGCTAAACAGCCCAAAGCCCCCCCTCCAAACAAAAACGGTTTAGGGTTTAGGTAACATCCCAAAGCCCGCCTGCACTACTCGGGACCTTAAAACGATAAACCCCGAGCCCAAAGCCTCACCCCAGGTCCTTACTTCATCCTCCAGAAGCTGATGGTCGCCCTGGTTCCGATCCTCTTCGCCAATGTGGCTGCCGTGCAGATTGTTCTGCTCTCTCTCATGACGGCACCTTGACTACTTTCCTGAGCAGTACCCTTCTGCCCTTTTGGTTAAGGGTCCCCTTACTCAAACCGAATTGTAGGAACATGGGTACCTCTATTCTCTCACGACGGTACCCTGACAGAAAAAGCCAGGGTTATTTTTATCAGTCTTGGTTCGCGCGTGTGTGCATATGTACACAGATACATACATGTGAACAAAATGTGTAGATACGTTACATACGTCTGTAGGTAATATATATACATATATATACATATATATATATATATATATACACACATGCTTACATGACAACGGGACCGTAGTAAACAGCAGGAAGTATTGGGTAATTCACCTTCAGTGTTGGGGCTTCGGGTCAAGCTTTTTTTCGCCGGTTTTTGCGGTCCAAGCATTCGAGCTTGACGTTCTTGCTTAGCATCGAGGATGTCCGGATATGTACCTTCATTCACAAAACCACGTAAGAAATGTGTATGAATTCGTCCGCAACATTAGGAGCCGCTGAAAGTCTGTGATTGCAGAACATAACAACGCCTATGGGATGATAGTATTTACACATATATTTGCATATGGATAACGACTCAAAAAGCCGTGAGTGCTGAGTAGCCGATAGTAGGGCGTTAGGATGTCAGAGCAGTTCAGAGTAGAGGAGATCCAGAACTTGGTCCGTCAACTTCCTGCGAAAACGGAACTAATCCGGAACTATGTATAAGGGGCTTTCTTGATGGTCTGCTAGGACCCAGAGTAAGCCCTTATTCCCTTTGTCAGGGTTCAGGTTCCCTTATAACCTCCTTTAAACCAAAAAGGGCACCCTTTTGATTTCTAGGTTACTCTTAGGTCTAGTTTGGGGCAGTGGAACCTTAAACCCCAAACGTGAGAGGAAAGTTCTTGAGGACTTGGGGTAATTAGTGAGCCGGCACTCAACCCCGAAGGTTCTCTACCTTGTGGCCGCCACCCGCGTGTTCCCCTGGGCGACGGATTTGGCGAACAGTGCCGCAGCTCTTCGGAAGATGGTCCCGGTTTAGGGTTTGCCTATAGCCTCCATTGTAGGTCTTTTTTTGGTTAACCAGTTTTATGGTTAGGATCCTATAATAGAGATTCTGGTTCACCAAAAAAAGGAACTACAATGGAGACTATAGGTAGGGGCTCGAGGATGGCTTGAGATGAGTTAGAGCTCCCTGCCTCTTTAGGATAGGTCGTCGAGCTGCCCCTCCGGCGCCGAGGGAAATCTTTGCGGCGGTCTTAGCCATCTAAGGATCGGGATCTAACCCTGATCCTTGAACCCGGGCCTAAAGCCCGAAATCCCTGAACCATAAACCCGAAATGCTCTGCTCTCCAAGACGCTAAGGACTTGTTTCTGAACACGGGCCTCACCTTCTTCCTTATCATCTCGTCCTTCTTTGTGGATGCCAGCGGCAGTGACACACGGTGCCTTTGGTTGATGACTTCGTTTGTGTTTTTTTGTGCTGAGGACGGTGCTTAGCTCCAAGCCGCAAAAGCGTGTAAGGCTCTTAAAGCCTTAGATGTTTGCCGGTTTAGGGTTTCTGAGGAGCCAGAAAGTTTTCGAAAGCTCACAGAGGATGTTGGACATAGGCAGAATCTTGAACATCAATCTCGCCCTCCCCACCAAACCGTGCCTCTGCGTGATGACTCATAACCAGAAGTGTTCTTCATGACGTAATCTAGCCTAAATCTTCCAATTCCTGGCCTGCAAACCCCCATACCGAACACCTCCTCTAAAGACAACCCCCCCCCCCCCCCGAAAGCTCGCAGACACCTAACAGGCGCAACAGCACAGGGAAAGAGCCTCCTAAACCCGCACATGAAGCCCCCAATCTGCTTGGAGGTTCATTGGGAGATATAAGTCCCCTAATCTGGATTATAGTATTTTTACCATACTTATAACTCCAGTCGAATGGAGTATAGTGACTTCATTATAACTACACATAAAGCCCACAACTTCACGAAGACACCGGCTGCAGAAACAAGCAGACAAAGCCAAACGCACGAAAGAGCCCAGGACCTTCCTCAGTGTACTGCTCATGACAGTGATCGGGCTGATCTCCTTCGGCCTGCAGGACCCCTTTTAGGGTTCAGGGTTTATGTGTGTGGTTGTTTTCGCTTTTTTTTCTGAGGTCTGTAATTTTGATTCCCGACTAACTACTTGAAACTATTTTGAGGCGTTCCTAATATGATTATGTATAATATCCCCAAAGCCATTTGCTTTTATTGGAGGCTCCTATGTCAAAGGGGCTGTTACGGTCTGCAGAGGGGATTCTTTGGTTGTTTGTCAAGGACTTCTTCGTTGCGCAGCAGTTTTTCCACAAAGCAGTTTTTTCCTTAAGCCGGAATAACCTACCTTTTTAGGGTTCCCTATTATGACTTCCTTATATAAATCCTTAAAAGGGTAGGTTCTTCCGGCTTAAGGTTGGGGTGGGGTTTAAGGATTTCTGGATTGGATCGGTTTAGGGTCTGGGGTTGAAGGGGGGTGTGCAATTACAGTTCGGGGGTTGCCCATCGGAGCCTACCAGATCCCAAAGATCATACAACAGGGGCCAAACAAAGCGGCTTCATGCGCGCTCTTGGGGTTTACGGTTTAGGGTCCTATATAGCTATGCTGTCATATAGGGTCACATAACCCCCTAGGATGCCCAGTAGTACCCTTATTCCTTTTTTGCAGTCCTAGGTTCCTTATAAAGTTTCCCAATACCAAAAAGAGAGGCCTTTTTATTCTTAGGTTACTGGGTATCCTAGCAACAGGGGCCAAACCAAGCGGCTTCATGCGCGGTCTAGGGGTTTAGGGTTTAGGGTGAACACTTAGACATATTTTCCGGTTATAGTCCTATATAGCTATGCTGTCATATAATATAGGATCACAGAACCCAACGCTGTCCATGTTTCATCTTAGTACCAAGTTCCTTGCACTACATGCCCAGGCCCTAAACTGCGTAATGGGTTTCAACACAATGTATCCGTACACTGTTTGACATTCTGGACGTTTTTCCACGAATGCCCTGGCCCAAACTCCCTACTAAAGCTTGTTTTTCATTCCGAAGCCTTAAACCCGAATCCCTAAACTCCACATCAGCCCCATAAACCCTCGGCCGACATTGAAGCCTGCTTCGGCAGGCTTTGGCATTGCGGGCGCTATGGAAGCGATTCCATCCCGGCCGCTTTGGCGCTAGTTTAGCGCTTGCATCTTAGCTGAGGGCGCAGATGCTGGTTTGGGTTTTCCGCCCAATCTGCCAGGCAAGAACTACAACTTCTTCCTCTGCCACCACAAGGCAATGCTGGTGCTGGAAGCAAGTCTAGGGTCTATAGGTTTTAAAGGAGTATTTACTTGAGGTTTCTCTAGTCTCTGTATTGGGATTCACGTTTCTTTGGCAGTTGAAAGGGTCGCTGGCACTTGGGCTTCTCGGATGTTCAGCTTTGGGAGTCGCGGTTTTGGGGTTTAGGGTGCAGCGTTGTTGAGGGTGCAGAGGGTTTAGGGTTTAGGGGCGTCTGCACTCGCTCTGCTGCTCGGGCTGAAATGCTGCGCCCTTGAGGCTGCGATTCGGGTGAAGGACACGGAGGGAGCAACTGGCCAGAACGGGCATCCGAGACGGTCCTGGCAGCAGACAGTTCCCGTTCTGCGAAGGGTCGGCGTTGTATGCGGATATCTACAGAATCAACCAGTTCCGGGGCCAGGACCCGGTCCTCATGGCGCCTCCAACGCCACCGACTCAGAAGGCGATGCCCAAGACTGGGTTTTTTCAAGGCACAGCTCTATTGCCACCTCCACCGGCGCTAATCGGGCGTGGATGTACTTCGAAGTCGAGCTCGTGCGGATCCGAAGTCGCTGGCATCGTCATTGGGTCAAATTGAAAGCCTGTGTACATGAGTATCTGGGATTGATTGTACTTAGTAATCTGGAAGCTGCGAGATGCACGCGTGCGTGCAGTAAAGCGGGATCTATAGCACCATGTCAAGTGTGTGAGCGACTGCGTGTTTGCATGAACTTGTTGGTGTGATTGCTTGACAGCTCGCAGTGTTGTGTGCTCACAGCTGCACCTGCTGGTTAGCAGGCAGTGGGTTGGGCCATAGGCCCAGCCAAGTGAAAGTAGGGACCCGTATTATGATTATACTTTCGTTAAACTTTAAATAGTACTAGTACTACTGACAGCCCTGCTCTAACTGTTAAGAGCAACTAGGTCATGCGCCCACCAGGACCCTGGTAGCGATGCGGGGTACTACATTTAAGACACAACACATGCACCAGGCGGAGACTACATGGAACACTTGCACAGTGCCTAAAATGCCTCATGAGTCTCTGATGAAAAGCATGTTGTATGTGCCTTCTAGGTCTTATATGTCATGAACACCAAATAAATCTCAGACGTTACATACACATGAACATGTGTCGACGACCCTTGCATATGTGTGCGACCCTTACATTTGTGTGCGGTCCTAGAACGTCGTCACTGGCCCCCCCACCCCACCCCTAAAGCATGGCTATCCCCGAAACCCCCAAAAAGAGCAGGTTAACACCAGGGACCCGGCGCGCGCGCGCCACCAACTAAGATCTTGAGGTCTGGGGCGTGTTTATAGAGTCCGCGGCCGCGGCTCCTTTTGTTGTGCAGAGTTTCGGGCTTCGGGAGCATGCATCGTTCAGTGCAGTGTTTGTTAAACCTCAAACCGTAAATCCCAAACCCTCGAAGCCATAAATAAACGTAAAAGCAACCCTAAACTTAAGCCCTTGAGTTACGCAATCGATTCTCTCACCAGCTCCAAAACCCCTACGTTCGACAGAAGCAGTTCTAAATTTTCAAAACTAAAGCCTTCTTGGTTTTGGTGCAAGTTTTGGTTTCTTACCTTGCTAAAATCCCTAAAGCCCCAAAACTCTAAAGCCAAAGCCCTAAACCCTCAAACCGTAAAGCCATACCCATAGGCCCCAAAGTAGTTCCTTTTTTCCAAGGGTAAAAGGAGGGACCCTTAATAAGGACCCCTAGGTATAGACCCTTAATATAGCTATTACATACCCATTATATAGGCCATTACGGGGCAGGGGTCCCTATTAAGGGTCCCTCCTTTTCCCCTTTGATTTTTGGGATTACCTTATAGGATTCTATTTATGAACCCCCAAAAGGAACTACTTTGGGGCCTATGGGTAAACCCTAACCTTGGCAGAGGCCGGTGCTGCCGTGCTTTGCCGCTGGCTGAAGAGCGAGATGCTTCAGCAGCCATCTGGTCGAAGTCGGGGTTCAGGGTTTACGGGTTTTAGTTTACTGGGTTGTCCTTTGGGTTTACCATAATAGTTTTCAATTTTCAAAGGGCTTAAAGGACAACTCAGTTTAATTTCTTCTGAATTTACGGTTTGGGTGTTTTTTTTCAAGGTTTTAGGTTTAGGGCTTAAGGGTTTCAGGGTTGTTATAATGAGTTGTTTAGGGTTGGGTGTTTGAGGTCTAGGTTTGGTACTCTAAGGTCGGACCGTTTGAGGGTTGTAGGTAACCTTTACGTGTTAAGGTGTAGGCTTTTGAAACGACTTCTAAATCGGATTTTATAAGTTCCTTGTCCTTGTACGGTTTTGTGCTGTTTTCCCCTGAACCCTAAACCCCTTAAGCCTGGCCTAAGGACTTTATTACAGGTTGGGTACTGCCCCCATTCAGCAATAGTTGGGTAATATTCCTATATGGGAGTTTTCGAAAATTGGGGTTACCTTACTTTGGGGTCCTTATAATAAGGATCCTACTATTTAGGGTAGTGTATTAGGGTCCCCTATTTCGGAAATTCCCATATAGACACACTAGGACCCCAAGAGTAGCCCCATCATAGACTGTATGGGGCAGCACTTGATGTAGAAGCCTTGTAAACTGCTTTACCGGAGAACATTCCGAGAGACAGGGGGCCCTCAGGGTTCCCTGAAAGGGTCCTTAGAGGGATCTATAAGGGCTCTATCATGGGCATTATGGTAGGAGTGTCCTTGGGGTCCTTATAATTAGGAGCCTCCGATTTAAGGTGCTATATTAAGGGCCCCTTTTCGGAAACTGCCATGTTAATAACCCAATCATACGATCCAGGTTTCAACTCAGAGAGTCACATGCCCCGAACTTAAGGAATAAAGCTTAAGTTACAGGAGGCTGAATCTCGTGATTTTCGGTATAAGCCGTGATTAAGAACAGGCTCTCGTGGTATATGTAAACACCGCGCACACTTTCACGTATGCTTGGATACTTGCACGCCAGACCCTAACTAAAGGGTCATGCCCTCCCCCCCTCCCCCCGTCCCTTCAGGATACCAATTTTTCGAGATGGCAAGTCCTAGCCATAAAGATTGGGTACCTTTCAAAAGGGTTAGAGTATGATCGTACTTGCAAGATCATGGCCACTTAGTAACTAAGGTCATATAGTCACTGTACTTACAACCTAGTTAGTTATGACGTCCCACGATCCTTGAAGTATGTTTAAACCCTCTTACAGAACCAGTGTAGATCCCTTAAGGGAACCCTTTAAGAAACCCTAGCAACTAAGCCCCATGATCGTCAACCCAGTAAACCCTGAACCCCTACACTCCTAAGCCCCCAAAACCCTGAAGCCTAACGTCTTGCCCCTTGTTACCCTACACCTTAAACACTAAACTTTTAACCCCAAAACCTGTAATCCAAAACCTAAAACCCTAAACCTAAACCCACATCCTTACCGAAAGGACAGTAATCCTTAAGCCCAAAACCTGAAACCCTAAACCTAAACCCACATCCTTACCGAAAGGGCAGTAATCCTTAAGCCCAAAACCTGAAACCCTAAACCTAAACCCACATCCTTACCGAAAGGGCAGTAATCCTTAAGCCCAAAACCTGAAACCCTAAACCTCAACCCACATCCTTACCGAAAGGGCAGTAATCCTTAAGCCCAAAACCTGAAACCCTAAACCTAAACCCACATCCTTACCGAAAGGGCAGTAATCCTTATAAGCTCTAGATCTTACAAGCCAAAACTGCCAATCCGCTGCCCCTTCGGATAAGATCCTGCATGATGTTAAGGACCCTAAACTAACGGATTTATGGTATATTCCTTATTATGGGTCATGCAAGATTTATATCATCAACCGTTCAGAGCCTTGAGGTCTGGAGGGAAGGTCAGAGTCTTCTTGGACTCGGCTCCTTGACTTTTGAGGCTTTGACGGTTTAGGGTTTAGGGTTTAGGGTTTAAGGTTTAGGGTTCAGACGGTTTAGGGTTTCTACTTGTAGGGTTTAGGGTTTGGGATTCGCATAGGGTTTCGTCAGAGTCCATCAGCACTCCCCAGCTTTTTGGGCAGTTGCTTCGGGTCCCTAGGGATTTTGTAATGGTGCTTATCAGAGTTCTACGGGGCGTCTTTGCGGATTCTATGAAGCGTTTATATGCTTTGGATCGGGCATTAAAGGTTTGTTGTTGGTATGGTTTTTGCGACGAATCTCCTGGCAGATCCGCCAACCGATCGGGTTGGTTTCATTACCCTAAACCCTAAACTCTAAACCGAAAATCAAAACCCTAAAGCCTTAACCCTTGTTGTGGGTTTCTAAGGCTTATACAGCGGGCTTAAGTTGTTCGTTGCAGCTTCTGCTGGGGATCTCAGTGTAAGAATCGCCAATAGTGAAATTGAATGAGCAATGCGTTTTCCGTGCCATGACTCCCTGAATTGAGTGCCTAATGCTAGCGCTCCAGTTACCTAAACAGTAAATAGTAGGTTACTGTGGTATATAATATATGGTTCGTAACCTACTATTTAGGTCACTGGAGCCCTAGGGTAAACGAAGATACGGTGTCAAGGTCAGGGATGAGGTTTGGGTGCGCTGTGGCAAAAGGGGCTTGGATGTTTCAAGTTTATGGCTTCAGGGCTGAGTGTTTTCAGTGTTGTTGTATCTCAAGACGTAGCCACAGCCTGCAAGTTTCCTCACCCTAAGGCTCACCCTAAGGGTCCATGTACCCAATTTGCCAAATAGTGTATACTTTGGCCTTGAAGTACTCCCTATGTGGGTACAAGGGGGCCAAAGTATATGCTATTTTGGGTACATGGACCCTTAAACTATAGAACTCTTATAGAACCCTTTTGTAGTAACCCTTAAAGTACCCTTAAAGGAACCCCCCAGTTGGGTACATGGACCTTCAGGGTCAAAGAGGCGTTCAGTGACGTAACCAACCCTGGAGGCCCTTTTACCGACAGGTGGTATGTATACACACACATATTATGTGTATATGTATTTATGCAAGTACATATATATATATATATATATGTATATATTTATACGAGTATATATGTGTGTATATATATATATATGTATATATTCACAGGGTAAGATCCAAAGCCCAACCGGATCCATATTTTCATGTGTACATATATATATGTAAACATACGCACATACGCATGCAGATGTACAGTAAGCAAGAGGGAAAAGACTGTTTGCCCACTATGATGGTGATTGGGCTTCCGGGGTAAGATGCAGGTTCAAGATACTGGTGCGATTCGTACTAGACCCTGGGGATCTAAGGTAAGGCTTTTGGGCCCAAAGACCATACTATATAAGGCTTTTGGGCTATTCTGATGCCCAGGGTTAGACCCACCACGGTTTAGGGTTCAGGGCTGGGTCGGTCAGTATGATAGGAAACCCTAAAGAAGACACTAGGCATCATTCAGATTCCTTCAGTGCCGAGCCTGGGCCCTAGACTGAAATCGAAGCTGAGGATGAGCTCGAGGGGCTCGCCGCAGCACGGCTGACGTTCGTGAGGGCTTTCGTGTAGCATCCTCCCACAAACTCTTCAGAAGCTTTTTCAATAAATGTTCGTGGGCCAAAGAGCCATGAGATCTTTGGCCCCAAACCCTAAACCCTAAATCATAAGGTCTTTGGGCTAAGCGCCTTGAGGCATGGGCGGGGAAGAGCTTCCGGGTGCTGTTGCCTGAAAGCTCTATCCCTAAGGGTCTTGCATTGGCCCCAAAGTACCTACGTAGGACCTACTTCAAGGCCAAGGTATATATATATATATATATATACACCTTAAACCCTAAACCCTAAACCCTAAATATATATTGTTTGGGCGCATCATGTCCCTGGGATCTGCTGAGAACTAGGGAGGGGTGATGCCTGAGGGTTTCGGCTGGGTTGGGATGTGGGGTCCCATACCTATAGGCTCATACCCTACCCCTTTTTTTAGGTACCTACTTTTCTATATAGGAGATCCTAACCATAAAGTTAGGTACCCTAAAAAAGGGGTAGGGTATGACCCTCTAGGTATTCAAGGGTTAGTAGTTCGGCTTTACGGCCTTCAGGCTTCCTCTTCATAATACAGAGGCCTAAATTCTTACTTATTTCATTCCATAGGGGTTCCTTATTATCCCTATACTATGGCACATTCTAATTATTAAGGCCCCTACATTAGTGTGATTGCGTGGTGCTTTCTTTTTGTTGTGAGGGGAGGATTCTACCCTAAGTTTGTCAGGCCAGAATTACCTCGGGTATCTCGTAGTTTCTGTTTTGGGCTACCTGTTAGGACCCCAACTATAAGATAGTTAAACCAATAACGCTGAACTACAACGGAAACTATAGGTATGTTGAAATGACCGTCTTAGGTCCACTGTGTCTTTAGAGCAGACCTAGTCAGTCTCCAGGTGTACGAGGCTTCATGGTCAGGAATTTGAAGCCGAACCTCAGTCTGCGAGTATTATGGCTTGAGTAAGTCAGTATACACCATATAGATACCTGGGACCCTTCGTGGGAAACTCACAGTCGCACGATGTTGTCAGGACATTGGTGATATCGTCAAAAGCCAGACCTCCGTGCTGGTCATTGCAGCCACCAAGTTGGTGCTGACGCGCCACGGCACACGCAGAGGCGTACCTTAGGGGATCTAATGATCGTGCTTGCAGTTCGATCTTGATTGAAGAAGAATTCTCCTTGGCTTCTTGAATGAAGAAAGTATTGAAAGCAAAAGAGAGAGGGACAAGTTCGTTTGATGAAAAGGTCAGTCCTTCTGTTTTGTTGCCCAGGAGCCCCAAACTAAATCATCAGTATCGGGCTTGGTCTAAAGTATAGGTCTCAAGATACCATTCACAAGAGAATAGGAGACTAAAGACATCATAGTGTTTGAAGCAGCCCGATGCATGTCTTTGGAACTAACCGGTACCAACCCCTTCCCCCAACCCGGCCAAGGTCAACTCTAAACCTTAAACCCCCAAACAAAGCAAGTCAAGTTGGAGAGTCAAAGAAGGTGGAATTCCACCACAAAGGCAGACGTCGGCTTATAGGCGGCTACTTGGAGGTTCATGGGTGGTTATAAGTGAAGTTATGAGTCCGCTAAGACGGGTCGTCATTATTATAGCTACTCCTACTTATATAACGCCACTTATAACTACCCTTGAGCCTCCAAGTAGGTTGGTATTGTTTGGAGGCCGGGGTTATGGGTTTTCGGTTTAGGGTGTTGCGGTCTTGGCTTTGTCAGGAAGGCCTCATTGCATTGAATATTCCAGAGAGGCAGCAGCTTATTCTCAAAGGGTCCTAATTCCTGTTACGGGGGATACTTTCGCAAATCATGCTACTTATTCCTTGTGTAAAAGCCTATACTTTCTCTTCTTTCTAGGCACTTTGGATCCTTTGAGAATTTCCGCTGCCACGATGCATGCAGCAGCCACTCAATTTGGCTCAGTCTACAGCTGTCGCTGGTGCCTTGTTTCACAAGACTCAGCTCTTCCTAAAGACTCCAACACCCATCAATGTCCTTGTCATGAAGGATTCGTCCCGAAATTCGCTGCGAGGGCTTTTGTACGATAACTCATTGAGGGATTTTGAAGTTTGGGCTTGCCAAGATGATTCAAGTGTGGCGGCTCTCTGGGGAAGCTGTGGCGAGCATACCCGTGGAGGAGATATGCGATGTGCGGGGCTTGAAACTGCGCTTGAGTCACTTAGTATAAGAGTCCTAACCTTTAGCTTTTTGGGGTACTATACATAAACCGTTGAAAATCCCAAAGGTTAAGCTTTAGTATATTGGAAGAGTAAGGCCAGCTGCCTGGCTTGCCGTCGCGATTCAGACAGAGGGTCCTCGCCCAAGGCAAGGAGTTGCCACGCTGGACTCGCCGATGGATCTGAATCTCGTTCTCTTGAGCTTCACTGAAGTTACTGAAACCCAGGTGCAAAACCTAGCAGCCGCTGCTCGGCAGGGATCCATGACAGAGGTGGGTGGCGACAAAAGATCAAGCCGGGGCACAAGCTTCATCGACTAGGGATAGAGGGCTCGCAACCTCCCACTGAAGAGGACTCGGCCAGCACGCGTGAAAGTCACATAAAGTCACCATGACGTTTTTGCACCATTGGGCCCAGCACTAGCTATATTCTGGTACTTCCTCCCACGTAGAGCAACCATTCCGAATTCCAGCCAAGCCGTTCAACAGTTTATTGAAGATCGGTACGGGGTTCCTAAGTTTAAGAACCTCCCCCCCTTTAGGGACCCCACCCCAAAAAAAGGTACCCTTGCGTACGCTGGCTTCGGAATGTATCCCCGAACAAGTCGGACCATTGCAAAACACCTACCCCGAATAGCTGGATGATAGGTGTCGAATAAGCATGTTTTAGCGACGTGAAGGCGTTTCATGTGTACACGGCGTATGGTGTATGATGGAGACGCTATGTGACCTCTGGATACTGAGGGTTACGCAATGCTGTTGATATAAGACCCCTAACTGTAATGTAGAGAAAGTGTACATTACTGGCGTTAGGGTTGGAAGTTTAGCAAGGAGTTTGTATATCAGGTCTGTGTATTGCCCTTCAGGTCGAGTCCATGCTTCAGTTGCCCCAAGATCCAGACTTGCTTGACTCGGATGGCCGTACAGCCTTGATCATTGCATCTGTAGCAGGTCATGACGGAGTCGTGCGCTTGCTGCTGGAGGCTGGTGCCAACACTAACTTGACCCAAGATCCAGACTTGATTGACATTTTCTACTCGGATCATGGTACAGCCTTGATGATGGCATCTTCCCAGGGTCATGTCAGAGTTGTGGGATTGCTGCTGGAAGCCGGCGCCGACAAAGATCTGGCAGACAAAGTCACCGGCGTGACCGCTTTGATGTCGGCATCTTCGAAGGGCCATGTCGAAGTCGTTCGCTTGTTGCTGGAAGGCGGCGCCGACACTGAGACCAACGACAAATACGGTCACACAGCTTTGATGTCGGCATCTTCGAAGGGCCATATCGAAGTCGTTCGCTTGCTGCTGGAAGGCGGCGCCGACACTGAGACCAACGACGAATACGGTCGCACAGCTTTGATGTTGGCATCTTCGCAGGGCCATGTCGAAGTCGTTCGCTTGCTGCTGGAAGGCGGCGCCGACACTGAGACCAACGACGAAGACGGTCACACAGCTTTGATGTCGGCATCTTTGCAAGGCCATGTCGAAGTCGTTCGCTTGCTGCTGGAAGGCGGCGCCGACACTGAGACCAACGACGAAGACGGTCACACAGCTTTGATGTTGGCATCTTCGGAGGGCCATGCCGAAGTTGTGGGATTGCTGCTGGAAGCCGGCGCCGACAAAGATCTGGCAGACACAGAAGGCTAGACAGCGTTGAGGTCGGCATGTTACGAATGCCATGTCAAAGTCGTGCCCGTGCTGCTGGGAGCCGGTGCACACAGGGAGCTGGTCACAGGCTCTTCGAATACGAAACAGGGTACAATATAAGCACGCAGCAAGGGATTCCTAAAGCCTATAGTCCCCATGCCCCCAATAAACCCGAGTTTTATGAATCCTATATCATTGTTCATACTACGCCATATATATATATATATATATATATATATATGCCTTAATTATGCCTCAACATACCTGACCGTGATAAGTTTACAAGAAAGTGGGGCTCTGGTAGTTGAAGGTAAGCCCCAGGCGTGTAAGCCCCAATGGGTGTAGGTGTCTAGAGCTGTTTAGCGTTTACGGTTCAGGGTCTCCAGGGTTCAGGGCTTAGGGTTTAGGGCGTAAGCGACGAGCCTAGCACGAGACACGCAAACATGAGCAGGACGGTATTCAGCACTGAGAAATTCCTTCTGGGATGTTGTTGTGATATCCTCCTTGATGCTCTTACGCTGTCCAGATTCATGCCCTTATGCTGTCCAGAGTGCTCGGGTTCTGATGTGCTTGGTTGATTCGCCTCTCAACCCTGAGCGGTCTTCGCCATCCTGCCACAACACCGTATCCTCGAGTCTTTTCCCTTCGTGCGCGGTAAGACCCCAACACCCAACACTACAGCGCCAGATGCCCTATATAGCATGCGTAACGAGCACCGACCATCAACCGTCATAAACCCGCAGCCGAAGCCTGCGTCAGCATCATCATCGTCATCAGCAGCAGCATCACAATCATCAATTCAAAAGCGTGTCAGACATCATCAGTAGCTTACTGAAACATCAGTTGCGAATCCTTGCAGGGAGACAAACCTCCAGAACTCAGCATGGACTAGTGAGCCCTAAACCCTAAACCTATGGAACTACTCCCCGAAAGACCATCCCGATTCCTGTTACGATCCTAGAAAGTGAATGTCGGAACCCTGTACGTAGAGAAGAGCTGCTCCTCCATCCGACATGGCGTCGAAGCGTGTACTATGTAACTTGCTTTTGGATAGTAGGGAATGGAAGAATGGTAGTAATAGTAGTTATAATTGTACCCCATGCCTCCATTCCCTACTAACCAAACGTAAGGTCAGCACAGGTTGGCGTCACAGCCCGTACAAATACGAATCCTTCATCCGAGGCGCCCGTGGTGCGCTGTGGAGGTAGCCACTGCTGTGCGGAATAAGATCGACATCGTCATGGACGCTGGGATTGAACGGGCTTCAGGCTTGACGTTTTGTGTAAGGCTAAGGGTGCTGTCAGAGTTGTATACTGTTCATCATCGGGTTCTACAGAAGGTTTAGAGTATGAGGGCTTAGGGTGCGAGATTGTATATTGTTCATCATACGGGTTGTACAGAGGGTTTAAAGTTTGGGGGCTTTCGTGTGCAAGAGCCTGTTCATGCTACCTGTCGGGCACACATTTGAGGGGTTCCCCTTCCCTAACTAAGACCGAAAGCCTTCTACTAGGATGCCCAGTAGTACCCTTATTCCTTTCTTGTAGTCCTAGGTTCCTTATAAAGTTACCCAATACCAAAAAGAGAGGCCTTTTTTGTTCTTAGGTTACTGGGTATCCTAGATATATACTTCGGACTTGCAGAGGTTCCTAAACAGATACTGCACGATCGAAGTAGATACCCAGAGAGTCCTTGACTGCAGTACATACCTGTACGTCCCTTATAGTTTTGCGCAGGCATATATCCCTGAATTAAGGGAAGGTGGGCGTTTAGTCTCTGGGGCTGTTGAGTGTTTTCGGGGTTTGTACAGGTCTGGGTTGCTCTTCATTTAGAGTTTAGGGGTTTAGGGTTTAGGGTTGTTCCCTACATTCAAGGCATCCTAAGCCCAAAACCGCGAACGCTGAACCCCAAGCCCTAAAGCTTGGCTTCCCTAACCCGAGTCCCTGGCTTACCGACTGTTGCAGAACCCCAAGTCCCAAGCCCAAGCCCTTAAACAGCCCCAAACCTATACGTCTCTTGGGCATTATCATGCAGCTCGAAGCCTTTCATCAGAGTACTCTCAAGGTCTATGTATCCTGAAAGGTTCCAACAATTGGGGTCGAGGAAGGGTTGTAAATGGTTTTGGTTTTCACGTTCCAGGATCCATGTACCTACATATAGTATATGCTTAGACATAGGCACTACTGAGGTTCCTACATAGGCACTTTAAGGCCTAATTATAAATATGCTGTATGGACACACGGACCCTTAGGGGTAGATACCCGGACCCTGAAAGCAACTTTACTTGTCCATTCAATTCTTTAGGAAACAACAATCGGAGACCCTAAACCCTAAACCCTAAACCCTAAACCCCTAAACCCCTAAACCCCTAAACCCTAAACCCCTAAACCCCTAAACCCTAAACCCTAAACCCCAAACCCTATAAACTCTCACGGAGGAGCCACCCCAAAAGGTAGGTTCCTGCAGGGCTTAGGAAGTTTGTAAGCAACTGGACAGACTTGCTGCATGCAAAACAAAGTTGTCACTAGGATATATCAAGGGTTATATCTGCGGTTACGACGAGGATGAACTCAATTAGGGTACGGGGGCCTCTACTCTAGAGCACTGTTTCAGGTCCTCCCCAAACCCTTCAGCCTAAATCAAGCCCCAAACCTGTTAACATTTTCCGGTGGTTCTTTATTATTTAGGGAAAATATACTGGGCCCAAAACCCTACTCTAATTATTGAGGCCGCCTAAACCCTAAACCCTAAACCCTAAACCCAAATTGAGGCCCCTCTATTAGCCATCGTTAGGTTATGGACCTCAGGTCTCCAGGGCCCCAAGGCACTTGCAACTTCGCTTCTGTCTGGCTCGTCCGTTTAGGGTTTAGGGTTTAGGGTTTAGGGTTTAGGGTAGGGTTAGGGTTTAACGGTTTAGGCCTTAACCCTAAATCGCCTGCTTTTGGGGGGCTAAGCCGAGTGAGAAGCCTTACACAAATCCACAAAACCCACAAAACCCAACTTCTCTAAAACCCCGCGAGAAGGCCTTAAGCAGATCCACAAAACCCAACAAAGCCCGCACATAAAACAGCATCTACAAACCTGCAAAGCCCATAACACTCTTGTACCAGTCCTATACTACACAAGCTATATACACGATTCTATAGAGCCCTGTACAACCCTTGCAGTTCGTTTTTACAAAACCGAGAAGGAACCCAATACTGCGCCGTAAAGCCCCTTAAAACAAACCTTGAGAAAGCTGAGGTGAAGTGTTCAGACTTCAGCTTCTACGATGAGGAGGGATTCCGAGAGCTGCGTGAAGGCATCCCCCGGTAGGGCTGATAGGGTTAGGCTCTGGTTTGTTCATTCTTGATGCATGACCTCTTAGTAAGCTTCCTGTCTTCAAGGACTATAAGGTTATTTATATGGCTTCCATGTTTCGATCCCTACAAAGGGGAGGGGGTCTATGAATCCGGGGGCTGCATGCCGCTCGTTGCGTGTTCTTGCGTTCTGAAGTTGTCTGCTTCATCCTGTTTACTCATGTTGTCTGTGTTGAACTGCTTTCCTTATCGGGGTTTGTGGTTTTCGTTTTGGGTTTAGGGTCTGCAGGGCTTCCTTGGTTGGTCATCGAGGCCATCGTGTTCTTTCCCGCCACCCTTGAACCACCAGAATATTCGGGTCTTTGCATTTTGGTTTGGAGATGAACTGCGGTCCGACTCTGGCAACAGTCTCTGACTCTTAGAGGTTACGGGTTTAGAGTTTAGGGTCTACTTAAAGATTCATGGGACTTAGTAACTAGGGGTATAATTAGGGTAACTATACTTATAACTACTTATAACCCCAATCAAGGTACTTATAACCTTACTTACTAAGTCCCGTGATCCTCCAAGTAGGGTCTTGTCGTGTAGACTCAGGGCAGTACCTGTAACCGGACACCTCTCCGAATGAGACGGTCCCACACTCATTCTAGGTAAGCCTTTGGGACATTTTAGATTTCCTCTTATTGGGCTCAATAGGACCCCATTTACGACTATTTTTTTAGAGGCTTCAAAGGGCCAACCTAGCATTGTCAGAAGCACTTTGAAACAGTATGTGCTGGGATCGCCAGGAAATGTCAGAGGTTTATCGCATCGTCGTATAGAGCTTTGTGGTGCAGAATCTAGGGCGCAGAAAACCCGTTGATGTTCCATTGCTGCATTATTCCTAGACAGGGGTCATTAAACTTTGTAACAGGCATTCTTTTGCAGGTCATGCAAATCTGTGCAAGAGTTGTTCATGCTATTCTTTACCTAAATCCAAAACCCCACACTCTAAGCCTTTCTATGCTAAGTACTAAGTATAGTAAGAAGCTGTTGAAGACATTCCGTGTGTTCTGTTCCTCTACACGTCGTATCTGCATACCTAAACCTTTATGTCCATATCATAAGCATACATATGTATATTCTACTGTGCACACACACACACTCACTTATCTGTTTGGTGTTGTTTTTTCATTCGTTTATGCATGTGTGCTCGCATACATGTGCATATGATTCTATGTATGTACGCACGTATGTAGGTATGTATGTATGTATGTATGTTTACATGTATAGTTTCGCTATTTCAGCCAGTCTCTCTCGAGTCCGTTGCCCGATCCCACTGCAGGGTGGACAAGCGCAGACATCTTGATCTTCGCACAGAATGCCTTGGACCCGTCCATGGTGGAGGACACGAACTTTCAGGGTTTGCGATGCTGAGTCTAGCCCTTGTATATCTGGGAGTTTCCGAAAATCAGGGGTACCTTATTTTGGGGTCTCTATAGTAAGCATCCTACGATTTAGGGTGCTATATATGTTAGGGTCCCCTATTGTCGGAAACTCCCATATCGGGTCATCCTCAGCGTTTCCTTTTGCTTAATCGGCGCTGCTTAATTCTGGGTGCGCGGGGCTTGTATGGTGCATGAAAGTGAGAGTAGGGCCCTCAGAGATGTGCACCCCTACCCCTGTTACAAAGCAGCATCAGAAACCTGCCGAAAGTCTTTGGAACTCCTAAGCGCCGAGATTCGAGCCGAAACCCTCACATGTAATGTAGACCCCTCATCAATACAGCCTTTACTAGCCTGAATATTCGGATCCCTGCTGCGTCGCTTTAGAATTTAAACCCAACGGCTCCAAACCCTGCACATGTGGCTTGTAGGGTTTCTTCAGGCCCTACAAGCCATTAACCTTGAGAGGAGAGCTACCGGCAATTGCCTTCCGTGCGCACCTTGGACTTCGATGCGTTTGCAGACCCAAGTGACCTTGGCAGCAAAGACGGGGGTTTTAGGGCGTCTACTGGGTCGCAACAAGCCTTTGTAGTATGTGTTTTCTAACCTAGTAGTAGAGTAGGCAACCTTTAACCTTTTTTTGTAGTATAGCCCCTATATAATCCCTATATCACCAATAAGGTTAACCTTCAGTTCCCCATGATACCCGCCAAGTAGGCTAAGGTTTGAAAGGATGAGAGGATGCCAAAAAGGGTTTGTATGGGGTTCCAGACTTTCTTCGTGGCTGCAAGTGGATCAGCCAAGGGTCTACGCACCTAAGTATTCGGGTTTTTCGGGCCAACATACCGTACTTTGGAGGTCTTTTGCGTTTCGTTTGGCAGCCTGAGGGGAACACCTTCCCGCAAAGCCTGAAAGCAGCAACATTTCGGCGTGAGGGTCTCTGGGTGTCTAGAATTATCGTTCTGTTCTTGCTTAGTTACAGTCTCTAGGGAGGACTCTCGATGCTTGTGGCTAGAATAGAGATGTCATCTTGTCAGAAACTTCCTGTCTTCAATCACCCGTGTCGCCCACTCTGCGCTGCTTGTTCAACCTTAGCTGGGTGTGTCAAACTTAATGCTTGAACCCCAAACCCTAAAGTAAACCCTAAACCGGCCGAACATGAAATCCGAGCCTCATAACATCGAAGGCAAGCAGCAGTCCGTGGTGTCCCAGATTCTTCAGCAGCTCGCTTGCAGATCTTGTATATGGGTCGGAAGCAATATCATGAACTAGTTCGTGTGTGTACGCATATACGTATTTATGTTACATCATATATCACACATCTATATGTACATGTGAAACTTTTCACCAAGCATACATATATATATATATATATATATATATATATATTTATATATATATATATATATATATATATATATATATATATATATATATATATATATATATATATATACATGTACATATATATATATATATATATATGTATATATATGGGCGCGTGGTCATTCCCCCACCGCTACACTTCAGCATCTTCGGTATTGCGCCCAATACAATACAGTGCGAAGGGTGCGCAGTCATGCCCCATACCGCGAAGTACGGTATAATTATAAACCCATATATTTCAAAACACATGAGAGAAAATATGGCACATACACGGTTCTAACAAAATTACGCATAAGATGCCCCATACCACGAAGTATGGTATAATTATAAACCGATATATTTCAAATCACATAGCAGAAACTATGGCACATACACGGTTCAGAGTATATAACATACAATATCTAGGAGATGTGCAGTATTTCGTGCGACACAATGATATAAGAATATAAGACAGAATGTACTCTAGCATGATAGAATACTGCTTTTTTCCGAATGGCATTCGCCACGCTATATCTGATGGTCGTAGACTGTATTGTGTCACATAGAGCATGCATCTGGTTGTCAGATACTTTTTCTTTTCAGGTTACATCACATCAAAATGTTTACTGTACCATGCCAACTTAAGTCGTGCTGTATTGGAGCATAACATGTTCTATCATGGACTACGTTATATGGTACTATACGATTCTATTCCAGTGTATAGCATCAGCCGTTACATCAAGTATTTTGCAAATGAAAAATAATGTGAAATACAGTACTGAATCATACCCAGATGTTTAACATAGATACGACGCGGTATAGGGTGAGATGACCTAATATAACCAAGCCTTTGGTACCACATGTACTATACTCTCATGTTGTATAGCCCATTATGATCTGTGTCTAACTCAAAATAACCCATGCATCAAACATGGTACAACACAATGTTTGGAAGAAAATAGTATCAGTAGCAGACTAACATATGCCGCACAGCATGATAGGATATAATTTCTTGGGCTTATGTATGATAACAACTATGTAGAATGCAACTTGTAACAACATTACGCATAAGATACCTGTATAGTAAAGCATAGTGTAGGAAAGAAGAGTATAGTGAACTGTAAAAGTTTAGTGTAGATCACAATGTAGTATACTGCCTAGAAAATAGCGTATACTAGAGAGCATAGTACATGACATGGTATGTATTATGTGTCTCCTCGAGCTCATGGAATAGTCTTTCGTGCAGAACAAGTACATTGTACACTGACGCCTATGGTTTATAGTATAGTCTGCAATATAGTCTGTAGTATAGTATTATGGTGTATAGCATAATCTGCAATATCGGTCTGTAGTATAGCCTAGAGCCGACAGCATAGGCTACAGTAGATACCAGTTCGGTTTCGTATATAGTTGAAAGCATATAGATGCTACATAGTACCACACAGTCGTATGCATTTGCAAAATCTTCAGTCACTGTGGGATAGGGAGAAAAGTATATTTTGAACCATATGTAAAACAAGACAACATAGTTCAATATGATCTAATGGAATAGGTCATGAATTACTGATCCTTAAGGCTTTCGGTGCTTTGACTCTTGACAACTTGGTGAAGCGAACTGGGCATCAGTTTGTTGTGCTGTCAGTTCTCACACTCGTAATGCCAGAGGCCTGATCATACTCTTATATATATATATATACATAGCTCGCTCTGCTTGGAACAACTGTCAGTTTACGTAACATTGAACCTGTAGCGGGCTATAGCTAGGCGTGAGTTTCGAAACACAGCGTATGTTTCGAAACACGCGCCTGCCACGGCCCCAACCCAGTATGTAACCCATTAACACATTGACCCGTTGACTCATTGACCCATTAACCCATTAACCCAATCATTCTGGCCAAATGAACTTGCCTTAACCCGTTAACCCATTAACCCATTAACCGGTTAACCCGTTAACCCATTAACCCAATAACCCGATCATTCTGGCCAAATGAAATTGCCTTAACCCATTCACCCAATCAGTTGCCCAATCCATTAACCCATTGACCCAATCATTCTGGCCAAATGAAATTTCCTTAACCCATTAACCCATTAACCCAATCATTCTGGCCAAATGAAATTGCCATAACCCATTAACCCACTAACCCAATCATTCTGGCCAAATGAAATTGCCTTAACCCATTAACCCATTAACCCATTCACCCAATCATTTGCCCAACCCATTAACCCATTAACCCAATCATTCTGGCCAAATGAAATTGCCGTAACCCATTAACCCATTAGCCCAATCAGTCGCCCAACCCACTAACCCATTAACCCAATCAGTTGCCCAACCCATTAACCCATTAACCCAATCATTCTGGCCAAATGAAATTGCCTTAACCCACTTACCCATTAACCCAATCAATCTGGCCAACTGAACTTGGGAGTAGAGTCCAGTCCCACTTGGGCAAATCATTGGGTTAATGGGTTAATGGGTTGGGCAAATGAATGGGTCAATGGGTTAATGAGTTAATGGGTTAAGGCAAATCCATTTGGCCAGAATGATTGGGTTAATGGGTTAATGGGTTGGGCAAACGATTGGGTTAATGGGTTAATGGGTTAAGGAAATTTCATTTGGCCAGAATGATGAGGTTAATGGGTTAATGGGTTGGGCAAATGATTGGGTTAATGGGTTAATGGGTTGGGCGACTGATTGGGTTAATGGGTTAATGGGTTAAGGCAATTTCATTTGGCCAGAATGATTGGGTTAATGGGTTAATGGGTTGGGCAAATGATTGGGTTAATGGGTCAATGGGTCGGGTTGGGGCCTCCTACGGATATGTTTCGAAACAGACACTAGTTTCGAAACCAGGTAGCAGAATCCATGAATATAAAAGCAAAGTTGCAGAAATGCAGGGGTGGGGGAATGACTACCTACCCATATATATATATATATATATATACATATGCTTGTAAGCACCCGTGGTAGTCCTTTTTGTTAGAGCATGACATACGGCAATACCCTACGTATTATTGAAATTCTGAAGGAGCTTCCTCTCCAGGGTCTTGGGGATTGCAGCTTAAGGCTGACGGATGTTCGGCAGCAAGTCATCATCAGGAAAATGCCACAGGGTCTTGAGTGCCTAGATGTATTCCCCATCTTGGTACTGTGGACCCTTCTGCAATAGTCGCAGTAGGCTTTCTCGGGCTTTGGTGAAGCTACTTGGGAATCGAGTGGCAATCCTACGTCATGTGAGTCTGTGACGGGTGTAGACACACACACGCACAAGTGCACATATATATATATATATATATGTAGAGAGAGAGCGAGCGAGAGAGAGAGAGAGAGAGAGAGAAAAGATATATACATATTTATACATGCACGCACACGACATAGCAATCGCGCCATAAGCCCGGCAGTCTTGTGCAGGCTCCAGGCTTACGGCTCTAGATAGTGTGCAGGGTTTCGCGGCCTATCTTTGCACCTACACTTACATGCGCACCAGGAGTATGTAACCTTGTAACTGGGGTTCTAAACAAGTATAGTTATAAAGACTTACAGCCTCAACCAAGGGACTTGGAACCTGACTTGCTCAGTCCCATGATCCCCAAGTAGCCCAGACGTTCTTGCAGGATACTTTCCCGCTTCCCTGTATATCTTCGACACATCCGACAAAACCCTGAAGTAGTACAGTTTCGCAAATGCCTTTTGTCTGGTGTGTGAGAAGAGTAAGTGGGGCCTGCATGGTTTTGGGCCATAGGGTTTCGTGTTTTGTGAGCAAGGTTCAACTCTCATGACCATCCACATTGGAACTAGACGAACCCCTTCTGAGAAACAATGAACCCTAAACCGAGGACATCTTACAAGGCTTCATACCGGGAAGCTTGGATTGAGTGGAGTTTCGGGACGGACATGACACGGTTTACGATTGTAGCGACCCAACTTAGACCCCCAACTACCCTCTAAGATATTCCTAATACTCAAGGACTGTAAGGGCTCCATTAAAGAGCCATTGGGGGGTCCTGGAAGGTTCGGGGTTTTGGGGTTTCGGGCTTAAAAAAATTAGGTTTAGGAACCGAAGAATTCAGAGATTTGAGTGGTTGTCATAATTAGGGTCCCTTTCTGGGTCCCTAATATAATACGGCACCTAATACTTAGAGTACCCCAAAACGGCCCATAATTTTGATAACTACCCACTTGTGTAAGGGGTTCGGATGGAGGCTGTCAAGGGATTTGTTTTGAAGGAGGGGAGTGACTCATGTCCTAAGGATCCATGTGCCCATAAAGTAGGTGCCTAGGCTTTAACGTACCTATATAGGGTCCCCTTTAAGGCCTAAATACCTGGCATATGGGCACATGGAGCCTTTGGGGTCATAGACGGTTGTTTTTGTGGGTTGGATTTGGGGTTTACGGGTTTTTTAGTCCACGCATTGGTAACACGCACGAAGGGCTGCGGTGTTTAGGTGGAAACTACTATTGCTACTACTACCTACCACCTACTACTTACTGCATACTATCTGCTATCTACTACCTACGTTATAACTACTAACTACGACTACTGCTACTAGAACTATTACTACTACTACTACTGCTACTACTACTACTACTACTACTACTACTACTACTACTACTACTACTACTACTACTACTACTACTACTACTACTACTGAAACTGCCGAAACTGCTGCTGGCTGTTACGACTGTTGCAAAGGAGAAGTCGCGAAGTTTAATTCTGGACTTGACACCGGACGTCCTTGTGTTCCTCGGCCTCCATTTCGGTGCTCCTTTAAGGTTTCCTCGGGGCTCCTTTGCGGGTTCCTTCCAGGACTCGATAAAGTGTTCCGTTGAGGGTTCCATGAAGGCTTCCTGTAATGTCTCTTCAGGGTTACTTGAAGATTTGCCCTGAGAGTCCGGGGTCAAGGTCCAGGGCTACATACCTATGTCGGGAGGAGTGAATTGCAGTAGCCTGCAAGAGGAAATCCAAGACGGGCTGCTGTATTGTGTAGTTAAAATTCAAAACAGAGGATTCAACGACCATTCTTAATATTATTAGAGTCTCCGCTGAAATCCTGTTAGAAATGTTAGGACCACTTTGCTAAAGTATGTTACCCGGACTATGGAGCACCCTTGAAAGCTTCCATCTCAGTATCGATCTCCCTAGGGTCCAAGTACCCATCTAGTACATAATTTGTCTTTAACGTCTTTAACGTCTCTATATCGGGACTACATTAGGGCCAAAGAGTACACTGTACGGGTACATCGGCCTTTAAACCCTAACCCCCATAAAACCCTATACAGCCAAGACTGGAGAAGTTTCATCTTGCAGCCACGGTCATCTCCAGGCACGATTCCTTCAACGACTTCGATGCCTATTGCCGCAGTCTTCGACTGAACTCTCGCTTGGCATTCTCCAGCGACGTATCCAGCAAAGCTTGCGCGAAGATGGTCGTGGCCATGTCTGGGCCCCTCTACGAGCAGGATATAGCAGTTCTGCGCAAGGCCACTGTGGTATCTCTTGCTTTCGACGTCCGTGCCGAATTAATGCTGGTGAGGGCACGCTGCTTCTACGAAGGCCTGCGGAACAAGCACCTGCCGTCGTCAGGCCTTTATGAATGCTTGCTCGGAGTGCACCGGAAAACTGGCAGCGGTGCACAGGCTTCAGCAGCGAGCGTTGAGCTGATCCTCAAGACAGCATGCACCGTTAAAACTGCCCTTACGGAACCCTGTCTAAGGAACTCTTAAAGTAGTACATGGGCCGTTGCGGCTCCTGTCTTGTAATCCCGGGCCTTTTTTCAGTTTAGGGTTTGGGAGTTCAGGAGTTTAGGGTTTAGAGGGCGGATTTCACGTGTACCTACTTAACATGTACATTGGTTACTCTAGGTGGGAGTTTCCGGAAATAGGGGACCCTAATATATTACCCTAAATAGTAGGATCCTTATTACACGGACCCCAAAACAAGGTACCCCTAATTTTCGGAAAATCGCAGGTAAGGTTTCATTGGGATTTGGATGTTTGGGTCAAGGCCTGATTGCCAAGGAGTCCTAGAGCTCAGATGAGCGCTCTAACCCTAAGACCCCATGGTTAAGCTACTTGTAACTCCACGGATAGCTACGCATGAACCTCCAAGTATGTTATCCTGATGGGTTGGCGATGTTGCTTTGTTTTTGAAATTTGTGCCCATATAATAGGTACTTGGGCCTTAGAGGGATCCCTATATGGGTACTTTAAGGCCTCAGCACCTACTCCATGGGTACATGGAGCCTTTGGCTACGGAGCCCTTAAAGGCACCTAATACTTGGGGCACCCAAAAAGGGGCCATGATTTTGACAACTTCCCAGATGAGCCCTTTAAGGAGCCCTTTAAGGCACCCAGAAAAAATATAGTCCCTATATAATCCCTAGAAAATGAAAAGGGTTAGCCTTTAGTTCCCCATGATACCCGACAAGTAGGAGTATGATATTACCCATCATAAGTAACTAGGATGCCCAGTAGTACCCTTATTCCCTTTTTGTAGTCCTAGGTTCCTTATAAAGTTACCCAATACCAAAAAGAGAAGCCTTTTTATTCTTAGGTTACTGGATATCCTAGGTAATATACCATACTTGCCATAGTTTAGGATCCTGAAGGTAATACAGGGTTTACATCATCAACCGAAGGAGCCCTTTAAGGCATCCAGAAACCCCAAACCCCTAAACCCTAAACCCCCCCAAAGCCTAAACCCTAAACCCCAAAACCCCTAAACCCCTAAACCCCTAACCCCTAAACCCCTAAACCCGAAGGCACCCAAAGACTAGACAAAGCAGACCTCCAGGCTCGGAGCTCTCGGCAGCTCTGAGGGCCGAATGACCTGCCAGGCGCCAGGGTGCCTTAAAGCAGAGAAGTAAGAATATTGGGATCTACAAGGGTTCGTTTAAGGGTTCCTATAAGGGATCTATAGGGTGTAGGGTTTGGGGTTTGGGAGTTTCAAGAAATAGGGGGGGGGGGCCTTATTTTTGGTTCCTTTAAAGGGGTCCTTTACAGGGTTCCTTTAAAGGGTTTTTGAGGGTTTCATAAAGGGCTTAGGGTTTAGAATGGAATTAGGTTCATATATGAAAGTAAGACTACCGGGGACTGCCATTAAGGGTGTTGTAGGGGTGTGTATAAGAATATTGGGGACTGCCATTAAGGGTGTTCTAGGGGTGTGTCGTGATTGCAAGAGGGGCTTATAAGGCTAGTACTGTAGTGCTATTCTCTGGGCTTCTGGTCTTTGTCATAGCATACTATTCCCCAACACATTATTACTCGTATAGGGGCCCTGATAATTACCTATACTATTTTTGGGGCGCCTTCTTATAGTTATGGTTTGATTGGTCCCCAAACTCTATTCTAATTATTAAGGCCCCTACATTACACCTTTATAGTCACCCTTAGAGTAAACCTAGAACCCTTTCAAAAGGAACCCTGTTCTAATAATTAAGGCCGCTACAGTATATAGGACCCTACCAGAGCTCAACTGCAGAGGTTCAGAATTGCAGGGTTTGCAAGGTCTAGTGTTCAAGGCTGTAGGTTTGTATCACCTGTTCAGTATCCCCAAAACCCCCAAACCCCTAAACCCTTAACCCTGAACCCCTAACCCCTAATCCTATCTAAACCCTTGTAAGCCCTAAACCCTAGCTCTGCTGTTCTAGCGGAAAGAGTTGCTGCTGACTTACCCAGACCCCCGGGAGGATCGAAAGAGTAGATCCCTGAATGGGGGTTCCTGTAAAGTACCCTTAGTAGTATAGGGCCCCGAATTAGGGGATCTACTTTCTAGATCCTCCCGGGGGTCTGGGTAAGCAAAGCCTTCAAGATGAAAATAACTGGAACTTTAAATCCCAACTGCAAGAAGTGAGTGATCGCTTTTCTAAGCCGTACCTAGAGGCTCGTACCCTACCCCTTTTTTAGGGCGCCTGCTTGTAAGATAACAGATCCTAACCATAAAACTAGGTATCCTAAAATGGGGTAGGGTATGAGCCTCTAGGTCAGATCTATCTAAACAGTTACCAATACTATCTTGTTTGGAGTGGGGCGCTCCTTATACATACTTATAGTATCATGGGCCCCCCAAGAGCATTTTTCGAATTATTAAGGCCCCTCTAGTACATCAGCGGCGATTTGTTTCGTGTGGACATAAACGGCAGCTAGTCTCGAGCTATTTGTCCGCTCGCCGCATAGCAGCTTCAGCTATTGGAACTCGAAGATAGACCCTTAGGCCCCATGTACACATAGTATATGCTCACGCCTTAATAATTAGCATCTACATAAGCGCCCCTTTAAGTCCTAAGTATAACTACTATACTACACACAATATTAGAGTATATAATATTTAAATTTTGGTACATGGACCTTATAGGGTTTATTACAGCGCTGTGTGTTCCAAAGGCTGGGAGCCCTTCAACTCCGAATCTTGCACTCTGAACCCTAAGCCGCAAAAACGCCAATCCTCAATTTGTGGGGTCTTGAGGGTTTAGGGTTTAGGGATTCGGCACTCTGAATGTTTGAACCCCAAGTCCTAGACCTTCAAACCCACTAAAACCCTGAGCCCTAACATAACCTAAACCCTAAAAGCCTTTAGCCCCAAACCCGACAAGCCCAAGGCCTTCAATCCGAAATCACAAAGAGGTGCTGCGGGACATGGTCATGGAGCGGACCCGGAAACATGCCTGGCTGGTCTCTTTGCCTGGAGAGGAGTACTATAAGGGTCTAAATAATTACCACTACTATTCTTAGGGTTCCTTTATGTTACTTACAGTATGATGGGCTTCTTCTAAACATTAAGGCCTGTATAGTAGGGGCTTTAGGGTTTAGGGCTGAGGGTTTCAGGGTTTTTAGGGTTTAGGCATCCAGGGCTTAGAGGTGTTAACCTGTTGAGGATGCAGGGGTTTAGGGTTTAGGGGTTCAGGGTTTTCGGGTTTAGGGTTTAGGGATTTCCGCACAACAATTGTGGCGATCCATCTAGCACATAAAATGCCCGCAGCAGAGGAAGTGTATAGCAGTGACGGCAGCAGCAGGGACAGCCGCAGTAGCAAAATAGCCGTGGGAGTACTGTAGGGGAGTTAGTAGTTGCCAATCCTATTTTGGGGGTTCCTTAGTATAAATATTGTATCATATGCCCCCAATCCCTGGTCTAAAGGCCCTACATTAGTTGTCGAAGCAGGAGTCGGAGCAGGAGAAGGCGTAGGAAATAGGAGTTGTAGTTGTCGTAGTAGGAGCAGTAGGTAGCGGTAGTTAGTCGTGGTGGTAGGGGAAGTGGTGGTGGTAGTTCTTGCAGCAAGAGTAAGTGCACAGCGGGAGTACGATTAACAGGAGGAGTAGGAATAGCAGCAGAAGTAGCAGCCATAGCAGTATATACTAGTTCGCTGCTCCGTATCCCTTGCCACCCTCCAGGTACAAGACCCCTCTGCCCTTAACGATTTAACCCCACCAAACATGGAAGTGTTTAAGACATAGACCCTCACCCGGAGACCTCTTATTCCAAGACATGACTATACCTTGAACCGCAACACGCCAGATTGCCTCGTTTTCGAGTTTCGCTTTTAGAGTCTAGGTTTAGGGTTTGGCGTATTGTTTCGGTTTTGGGGGTTATAGGTTTCGGGAACCCCAAAGCCCCGCGGCCTGCAAGCAGTGTGAGGTGAGCTCAGTGAAAGATGCCCTTCACGCAGCGCGGCACCTCGGCGAACTTGATTCCAATGGTGGGAATTGCTGACGTTATGGCTTCTGCTGTTTTCACTATGATTTCCTGGCTTAAGCTCCTTGATGTGCAGCCTGTTTGATGCTCTCGGGGCTGATCGATAACGCCAACCGTACCGACCCTGCATAAGCAGCTCGGCTTCCAGGGTCGTTTCTGTGTACTTGCCTAGGAGCTCCATGTTCCGGGGCAGGGTGTGCGCGGAGCCACCATTGATTTGGGCTATTTGTTTCTTGCAAAGACATTACACGCAATCTTCGGACAAGAAGGTTATCGTGGTGGAAGGGAGTCATGACCAAGCACGACAGAGGGAAGTTCTTGTGGGTACGGGTCCTGCCGATCGTATAGGGATTGCCCACGTGGGTGGTTCTTTGAATCAGGGTCCTTTCTTTCGGCCCCCAAAATAGTACGACACAAAGAGGAACCCTAGTTTTTAGAACTCTACCTGCATGCATGGTTCCAAACCTTCAACTTCAATCCGAAGATGCAAAAACCCCGAACCTTCAACCCTCAATTAGATTACCTTAACTAGGATGCCCAGTAGTACCCTTATTCCTTTTTTGTAGTCCTAGGTTCCTTATAAACTTTATACCCAATACCAAAAAAGAGAGGCCTTTTTATTCTTAGGTTAAAGGGTATCCTAGATTACCTTAATTAAACCCTAACCCTACCTTAACCCCGCGTAACCTACCTTTTTAAGGACTTATATAAAGAAATCATATTAAGGAGCCCTAAAAAGATAGGTTCCTTAGGGTCTAACCCTATAAACCCTATGAGCCCAAATGTGTGGTGCTTGCTTTGCTGGGTCCCGGAGCCGGGAGCCGCAGTGGGCCCAAAGCACCGGTGTCAGTGTAGGATTTGGGTTTAGGGTTTAGGGTTTAGGGTTTAGGGAGAAGCCTAGATAAATACCAACACGATGCCTTAGGGTTCCTTATTCTAAACATACTACAAAGGAGCCCCAAACCTTATTGCAATTATTAAGGCCCTTACACTAATTATTAAGGCCCCTACGTCAGCCTGCTGTTTTATAGGCTTCGGGTTTACAGTTCAGAGAGCGCTGAACGCGAAGCCCTAAACCCAAACCTACACCCGAAACTCTACACCCTGAACCCCAAACCCCACATTCCAGATCCTAAACCATACACCCGAAACCCTAAACCCTACATGCGGAACCTTAAACCCTACGCCCTGAACCCTCAACCCCAAGCCCTAAACCCTCGATCTGGGCCCTACTTGTAGTATGGGTTTGTAGGGTTTAGGATCAGAGGCCGAAGGACCCAATAATGACGACGAGAACCTCTGGCTCAAACATCTTTCCATCACCGATGGCCGATGGCAGGAGGTTCCCAATCATGGGGGCCAAAGCGGCTACGGTCATCGAGCCAACACCAATAAGCCAAGAAGGGCAACACACAGGATGAACAAGTATGCCTCCACATCAGTCTGCCGGAGAAGCTTGCTTGGAGCTATGGACATCCATGGTACGTATTGTAGATGGAAGTTCCCGGCTTTGCCTGAAAAATGCGGGCACCTTTCGGTCGTGGCGTAACTCTGTCATCCCGATGATCGCCTCCTACGATCGGTCTCTGGACGGGGCCGTCTCGGAATGGGTGATGAAAGCCATGAGGGCGAGAACGTATGCAGAGATACAGACCTTGAACACGTCGTCGGATCCTTATCTCCGCTTGGATCGTGTGTTGGCATTGCGGTTTTTGAGGTAGCCATAAGGCTTCGACTTGTACGAGGTTCTAGATTACAAAGGGTCCCATACCGGTTTAGGGCGTGGGGTTTGATTCTTTGGCCCTGAAAATGCCTATGTATAGGGACTGCTTTAGCGAAAAAATGTATACCATAGAGGTACACGAACCCTTCGGGTGAGCCATATAGGATCGCGTCTTTTGATTGTAGTTAAAGGGCTTTGCCCTACAATCCCAAAGGGTCCATGTACTCATAGAGCATATACTTGGGCCCCAATGCACCCAAATAGGGACTACATTAAGGCTTATGTCTATACTACATGAGTACATGGACCCTTAGGGAATCAAGCGGTCAGAATATTGAATATCCAGGCGCAACCTCATGAAGCCTGCACAGCTAGGTTCCCCAGTAGTGCCCGTTTTGCCGTCTTCATCTTAGGGTCGCCATCTAATAGAGGACACTGGGGAACCTAGATAGTGGATCTTGGCGAAGACCTGTCGGGTCTACGGTTTGGGCTTGAGCCGGTTGATATATGGAGCTTGAGTAGTCTTAGTCGGAGCCCGTAAACCCGAAACGCCTAAACCCCAAAACCCTACTTACCCTAAGGGTGCATGTACCCATATAGAGATACATGGGCCCCAATGTACTTATATTGGGACTACATTAAGGCCAATGTATATACCATATGAGTACATGGACCCTTAGGGTTATACGTCACCGCCCTCAACCTCCAACTTCTGAGGACCGCTCAGTACCTGCTGGTCGTCCTCACTGCAGGGTTGCTTCGAGACGAGAACTTCTTGGCAGTGCTGAAGGTGCCGGTTTAGGGTTTAGGGTTTAGGGTTTAGGGTCCTGCGTCTCTTGGTAGTACCGTCTTGCCGGTGTAATAATTTGTGTGCTCTCCTTGTTAAGTAGAGCCGAAAGGGGGGCTACTGGGCGACGGAACCTAGGGCCACTGGGAGTAGTAAACTCAGCTGCACACCTTGCACTGATGATGTGCTGCGGCCGGAAACAGGCGCCAACGAGCCCGAGTGTGAGTAGTGGCCTTAATAACTAGAATGGGGTTTCGTGGTATAATATTAACTTAGTATACTGCGAAACTACAGGGTTTTATCACGGAATACTATTACTGAACTGCTTACTCTGTTTAGATCCGGAGGCCACCCATCAGTCCTTGTATTCATATACTATGTACTCTGGCATTTATGTCGTCCCTATATTGGTACTTGAGGGCATAAGTATACACGACATGGCCACATGGACTCTTAGGGTAATTATAGGACCACAACCTATTTTCTAGAGTTTCAGGTTGAAGGGTCAGTATCCTTAGTAACCTGTCGCTCCGAAAGAAGGGTTGAGGTTTAGGGCTTGGGGCTTCTTAGTCTCTCAACAAAGAGAAAGAAGGTTTTAGGTTTCGGGGTTTAGGGTTAAGGCTAAAGTCTACCCTCTGGAACCCAAAATGTCCTTCACTTGGGAACTTCATGCCTAGAGTTTGCGAATACCTTTGCGAATACCTGCAGAAGCCGCCGTGTGTTGAATAGTCCGGTGTTATAGGGTCCTTAAGGGAGGGTGGTTCAAGTGGGGAGGGTACAAGAGATCCTTAGGGAACCTTAAGGGAACCTTAAGGGAACCTTAGGGCTCTAGAGAGAACTAGGGATTAGCAGGCTATGTACCTTCCGTGGAGCCCCTTCCTATGAGGATGGTCTAACACATTCTAACACGATCCTTGTCACAGTACTTCGAGCCATGCTCATAACTGCGGCACGAACCTTAAACTAAGTGCCCAGACGGCCAGTAACCTCCAATTTCGAGAAGCATAACGAGAAGCCTTAACAGATTGAAGGAGCGTAGCTCAATCAACATAGTTGGGCTCCCTCGGCACATTAAACTCGGATAAATAATCCTGAAACGTCCTGAACCCTAACTTAAGCCCAAATACGGTTGATGATATAAATCCTGCATTACCTTAAGGAGCCTAAACTATGGGGAATGATGGTATATTCCTTATTATGGGTAATGCAGGGTTTATATCATCAACCGATAGCTTCAGGCCCCCTAACATGAACCCCATGACCCTGTAAAGCCCTCTAGAGCCCTACAGCAAGTCTTTCGACCCTGTGGAACCCTATCGCGCGTTTTTTTTCAGCCTACCTCAACCGCCTATATATGGAAGTCATAATCAAGAAGCCTAATCTTCTACGACTTTTCGGGTTTATGAGGTAATCTTCAGAGTGAAGCGCGCAGAGGCCTTGGACACGGCGTTCGGGGATGAACGCCTTGAGATCGTCAGCGCCCTCGCGGTGCCTTCGGCCGACTGCGAGGGTGTTTTATAGCGTCGGTGGGATCCCCAAACCCTAAACCCTACACTCCTTTGTTGCGCAGGGTCTTGGACGGTTTAGTTAGGATTTTTGGCCAGGTCTTTGGGGCTTTGGGGTCCTTTGGGGCTCCTTATTATAAGTATACTATAATATCACCCAAAACCCTATTCTGATTATAATGGTCCCTATACTAGGGTTCTGTAATTCGTCAGCACGCTTCCTCAACAGCCGGCACATTCAATTTCTGACCTGTATTGTCGGAGGGTGGTGTGAACGAGTTGCTCTACGCTACCTGTAGGCTCATGCCCAACCCCCTTTTTCCGGTATCTACTTTTCCGTACAAAACATCTTAGCCATAAAACTTGGTATCCCAAAAACGGTGTAGGGTAACTATGAGCCTCTAGGTATATGGGAGTTTCCGAAAACAGAGGACCCTCATACGGTCCCCTTCATAGTAGGATCCTGTTTATAAGGGCCCCAAAATCAGGTACCCCGGATTTTCAGAAACTCTAAACCCTAAACCCTTTACAGAACCAGTAAAGATCCCTGTTAAGGATCCCTTAAAGGATTCCTTTAAAGGAATCCCTAATTTCTATCGGCTGGAGTGCGAATCCTTGGGGCACGACCGGAGAGCATGGCTTGAGGTTTGAGGCGTTCCTTGAGGATCCAATGATGTAGTACCAAGAGGGTCCATACATACTAGGGTCCTTTAAGGGCTCCTTGAAGGGTTTCTTTAAGGGTTCTATATGGCTTAGGGAGTTTAGGATCCATATATACTACTGTTATGGAATGAGGTCCCCAAAACCATAATAGAGAGGACTTTTTGCGACCTACACCCATAATGGTAGTACACATGGACTCTCTGGGATTACTTCACAGTGACATGCCCTATGGTATGTGAGATCATGATCCATTCGGATAACAGAGGCTCTTGGTAGTAGAGTAGGTAACCTTCAGCCTTTGGGGGTACTATGATCCCCATATATTCCCAAAGTTTAACCTTCAGTTCCCCTACAACTGGGATTTGGATACACGCTGGCTCCCGAAGGGTTCATGTACCCAAATAGCACATACTTTGGCCTTAAAGTCGTCCCTTTCTAGATACTTTGCGGCCAAAGCATATACTATTTGGGCACATGGACCCTTAAACTCTAGAACACATATAGATCACTTATAGAACCACTAAAGTAACCCTTAAAGTACCCTTAAAGGAACCCTTAAAGGGACCCTGTCTTAAAGGATCATGGGACATAGTAACTCGGGTTGTAATTAGGGTAACTATACTTATAACTACTTATAATGAACCCCAATAAAGGTCGCTTATAGCCTTACTTACTAAGTCCCATGATCCTCCAAGTAGGGGTTTTGAGTTCATGCGAAGTTCGAGGCTTCAGGCTAGGATTCGCCCCCGTCAAGAGAAGTGCACCACTGGACCCTGAAATGGCTGTACTCACTGAAATGACAGGTGCAGTAGAGGAACACAACGGTTTAGGGGTTTAGGGGTTAGAAGACTATCAAGTAGAAGAGAACTTCTGGGATAACGCAGATTACAAATGATGGTGATGGCTCAGCTATTACCAATGCTAGTAGTGGTGCTGGTGAAGGTGACAACCATGATGATGGCCATAACCGCGACGACGATGATGATGCCGATGCTGATGTCCGGGAGGAGACAGAGGAAGAGTCGAACATTGTTTGATGGTTCTGAAAGTTCTTGCAGGATCATGGGACTTAGTAAGTAAGGTTATAGGTACGTTAGTTGGGGTTATAAGGAGTTATATGTATACCTACCCTAAGTATAACCCTAGTTACTAAGTCCCATGATCCTTTAAGTTGGTCTTAAGATGACACACATCGGGTAGTGTTGAATGCTCAGCTTCGTCCTGCTTTTGTGCCGAACGTGACGGTTTCATATGGGAGTTTCCGAAACTTACGGGTACCTTATTTGGGGTCTTTTAATAGGGATCCTACTACTTGGGGTACTATATTAGGGTCCCCTATTTTCGGAAACTCCCAAATTTATAGTCCATCACGATCATGCCCGAAAGGCTGGGGCAGGTTGGTTTTCTCAGAGAAATCTGTCGAACGGCAGTAAGTTAGCAACCGGATAAGGTTGCAGTCTTGGAGTCTTGGAGGGTTCCACACATTCCCGCAACACTCCAGACCTCTGAACATCGCGCCATACAAGTTTTCAAACCTTACCGGGCTTTGCACAACCCTGCAGCACCAAAACAAATCGGGATTCGGCCAAGGACCAGAACTTTGAGTTCGCGTCGGCTGCCTACTACCAGGCCTTTTGAGCGGTCGATCGGAGGTTCGGGGTTTACTGTTGAGATTTAAGGGTTGTAGGGTTTGGGGTTTCGAGTTTAGGGCGTCAGAGGGTTCACAGTTGAGGCTTCAGGTGCTGTAACCATGAGGGTCCATGTACCCATATTACTATAGCAGATACTTTGGGCCCAATGTATCTATGTAGGAAGGACTTTAAGGCCAATGTATATGCTATATGAGCACATGGACCCTAGGGTAAGTAAGATTTAGCAGGTCTATCAGCTGTAAGAAGCAATCAAATATCGGCCGATAACCCTGCACAGCCCCATGAAACCCCATCAGAGAACTTCATGCAGACTTACCAAAATTCAATCCAAACCGCCGAAGCCTGAGCCCTAAACACTTCTAAACCTAAACACCAATTCCCCGAATCCAGCTTTCTTTCCACCATTCAGTGGCTTAAGCCTTCAGGAGAGCGACATCAAATCTACTGAAACATCAGGTGAGACTCAGCAGCCCGGTAATTAAGCTAGATTGGGGACCGGCTCTTAGTGTTAGATACACCCTGATGGTTGTTTGTTTCGAATGCGTCAGTTCTAACGAAACCCTCTCTCTCTCTCTCTCTCTCTCTCTCTCTCTCTCTCTCTCTTTTTCGCTCTCGTTAGAAAGAATACATACGTATCATACATACACACATACATACAGACAGACCCCTGTTCAAGCATAAGCCAGGTCCCTGCCGGTCCGAGCACGGGTTTTCAGACGAAGCTTTCTGCTATGCCTGCTGATTAGGTGCTTGTCTACCCTTTAACTATTCTTCTCATTACTCATATACCTAGCAGAACATGCATTCGATGCTTGATTGTTGCCTGTTTTAGTGTGTTGACTCGCATGCCCCTCCCCCGAGGCTTCCCCATACGAATGCACGTTTAAGAGCTCTTAGCTTCAGTCGGAGGAAGCCAACTATTAAGCCGTTTATACCCGTACTTGAGGATATGCCCCTCGAAGCTCACTTGTGTACACGCACGGCAGGTTGGCCTTTGCCTGATAGATCTATGCAAGTTGGCTGTGTAATAGTTTATGGTGCAAAATGCAGACAAGTGATATTTAAGCGGCTCAGACCATAACGTTTGTGCAGCTCTCAGTTTGCAGGTAGCTGGTCTTCTACACAAACACTAGACTCGACGCGGAAGGCAGCCCCTGGCCCCACTTGCAAGCAGAGGCCCCCAAACCCTAAACCCTAAACCGTGTATCACTGGGTTCCTCGATCCTCCAATCAGGGGCTTACTCTGCAACCTTAGCTTCAATCACGACTAGGTGCTTCAACAATTGGAATCGGGATTTGGATTTGGATATATATATATATATATATATATACACATGGAATGCTTATTCATGCACATCCATACATATATATATATATAACAGACATCATAGCACATGAGCACACCAATGGATACACGAACAAACTTGTGTTTATGTATATACACACATACGCAAATAACCAAGAACATACATACTGACATACTTACTGGTGCTCTGGGTTGACATTCTGACACTATTTTCTTCCAACCCCGACACTACATTAAATGGAGATCACGGGATGTAGTAAGTAGCTGCCAATACTGGACGGCTAAGTCTACTTTTAACTGGCTTACATCTACTTACGCACCAGATTCCGTGATCTGTCAAGTACATCCTAAACCCTAAAGCCCATAAACACACTTGTAAACGCCTTTAATCCTTCGCAACAAGCTTATGAAGCCCTCGCCCCTCATCTAGGTAGGCCTTTGGGACATTTTATATTTCCCCTTATTGGGCTTAATAGGACCCTATTTCACGAATATTTTTCAGAGGCTTTAAGGGGCCAACCTAGTCATTGCAACGGCCGTGTAGTTTGGCAGGAGCTGAGTGACCGTGGAGAAGACCTCCTGGTCCAGTCTGTCCGGGCCTTAGGGTTTATGTACTCCTATAGCATATACTTGGGCCTTAAAGGGGCTCCTATATAGGTACTTTAAGGCCTAAGTATGTGCTATGTGGCTACATGGAGCCTTAGGGAAAGCGGACACATGGGGTTTGGGGGCTCAGGGGTTTAGGCTTCAGGGTTTTCGGATTTGGGTTTTGGGGGTTTAGGGTTCGGAGATAGTTTTGGTTTGGGCTTCTTGGTTTAGAGCTTTAGGGCTTTGGGTTTACAGGGTTTAGAGGCTTACGGTCAAGGGTTGCGGTTTACAGCTTGGGCTTTAAGTCTAGGCCCTCCAAAAGCTGTTCGTTTAGGATTGCAATCAGCTTCCGTCTTCACAGGTCATACTTGGAGGATCATGGGACTTGATAAGTAAGGTGATCCTTAGGGTTTAGGGTTCCTTTAAAGGGGATCAATAAGGGTTCCTATGATGGGATCTATAAGGGTCTAGGGTCTACTTGGAGGATCATGGGACTTGGTAAGTAAGGTTATAAGTACCTTAATTGGGGTTGTAGGTGGTTACAAGTATAGTTACCTTAATTATAACTTTAGTTACTAAGTCCCATGGTCCGTTAAGTAGACTCTCACAATTTCCCCTAAGGGTCCATGTACTCATAGAGTATACACTTGGGCTCCAATGCACCCAAATAGGGACTACATTAAGGCCTATGTCTATACTACATGAGTATATGGACCCTTAGGGATAGGCTAGTTAGGTCCGGTTCAGGTAGGGATTGGAGCTCCAGGCGGTGCAAATCCCCAAAACCTGCAACACCACGCGCCAAGTGATGCACGTCGCCATTTGAAGGTATACCCGTATAGTTGTCGCAGGATATCATACGATTTGGGTTTTGGGATTTGCAGGTAGTAATGCATTTTGCTGACTTCATTTGCACTAGCCCTGCGTCGAATCAATCCCCCCCCCCGCCCGCCGTCTATTGAAGAAGGGTATGCTGGAGAGGTTGGATTTTAGGGTTTACGGTTTAGGGGTTTAGGGTTTAGGGTGTGTCACAGTGCCACGGCGCGCCCCACCCATGGAGTGGTCGTGGGTCGCGCCGTCTTCGTAACGTGGAACCCACCCACAACCACCCGAAGCAGGACTAGAACGGGGTTTGTGTTCTGCTTCTTCTTATTCGAGTGCTGCACTAGCCGAAAAGACGTTGCAATGTTGCGGAACGTCAAAGGGACATCCGAGTGATGTAGTCACAAAATAGCAGCGACGCCCTCGCTCGTCCTCGCCGGCCGTCACTGATGTTTGCCTTGACTGCGTGCATGTGAAATCGAGCGTCTACATGGGGATTAGCTGGTTGTGGTGTGTCATGATTCCACCCACGGGTGTTTTGCGTGGGTGCCTCTCAAATCGGGCGTCGACATGCTGAAAGGCTGGCTTGGTTGTGCTGTGATGTGACTGATGTTTGCCTTGGCTGCTTGCATGTGAAATCGAGCATCTACAGGGGCAATAGCTGGTTCTGCTGTGTTATAATTCAACCGACGTGCTTCTTGCGTGGGTGCTTCTGAAATCGGGCGTCTACATGGGGAATGGCTCGGTTGCCATGTGTTTTTTTGTAGTGCCTGAAGCCTTTAAGGGTTAGGGTTTCAGTTTCGGGACTTAGGGTTTAAGCTTTTGAACCCTAAACCTCCTGGAGCCTCCCATGCCCTGACCTTTTGAAGCAGCTGAGCTTTCCTGGAACCCCCCAACTAGCCTTTAATATACCCTAAATCCCTGGGCATCAAAATAGCCCAAAAGCCTTATAGAGTATGGTCTTGGGGCCCAAAAGCCTTAATATATGAGTCCTTAGATGCCAGGGGAATACCCACTATTAAGGACCATAAGGGCTCCATTAAAGGGCCATTGGGGGGTCCTGGTTAGGGCCTCACCAGCTCCGACCTACCGACTCGGCTTCGCTTTTCTTACCTTCGGTTAGTGGGGAATGAAAGGGGCCTTATAAAGGGGGCTATAAGGGTTACTATAAGCGATCTATAAGGGTATTATAAAATAGGGGCCTTAATAGTCCTATATCTTACCTTTGGTTAGTAGGGAGGAAGAATGCATCGAGCCCTGGGCATCAGAAAATGCCCAACATCCTCATATACTGTTGATGGACACAATCCTGCATGACTCTAAGGACTCTAAACTATGGGAACTATGGTATATTCCTTATAATGGGTAATGCAGGATTTTGGCCATCAATAGTAGTAGTAATAGTTATAATATTTGTACCACATTCCTTCATTCCCTACTAACCAAAGGTAAGTTTTGGTTGTAGTCCTAGTTATTAAGGCCCCTATGCTATAGAATACTACGATAGATCCCATATAGACTTCTTAGAGGAACCCTATTCTAATTGTTAGGGCCCCTATACTATAGAATACTACTATAGATCCCATATCGACTTCTTAGAGGAACCCTATTCTAATTGTTTAAGGCCCCTATAGTAGTCGGAATGTTTTGGGGGGGAGCCAGACGCGCTCTTCGCACGACCCTGCAACTTCCAGCAGCGAGCCTCTGCACGGGTTTAAGGACTGCTGACTAAGCCGTAACCCCAAGGGTCCAAGTACTTAATAATCATATACTCTCCAAAATCCTAACCTACGTAACTACTCTCCTCTAACCCAGTACTTAATTATTGGGTCGTCCTTTGGACCCTTGGGTTAATAGGCCGTAAAGCATAAAGGCTCACACACAATCCCCTCAGCGCTAAACCCTACACCCTACAAGCAACCAACCCCTGAGAGTCCAAGTATTCCTTTTTCTACGACTGTTGGGCCTTTTTTGGGCAGCAATAACTAGAAAAGAAGGACCAGTTGCATTCCTTAGAGGACATTTCATTTCATATGTGCATGGGTGGTTGTCAAAATTAGGGTCCCTCTTGGGGTACCCTAAATATTAGATGCCGTATTATAATAGGGACCCAAAAAGGAACCATAATTTTGACAACCACCCATATAGAGGACGTGGGGTTGCAGGGAGTCGGGTTTAGGATCTACGGATTTAGGGTTTCATTTACCTAGACCCCAAAAGTAGGTAGAATAATGACCTTAAACCTACAAAAGGCTATCATTCTACATACTCTTGGGGTCCAGGTAAGGGGGTTTAGCTCAGGTCCGGCGCGTGGTGAACATTCTGGCCTTACCCTTCTCTCCGCAGACGTCGATCAAGGCAGTCGTCCAGGTGTTTAGACTTTACCGCTTCCTGTTACTTGCAGGAATCATGGGACTTAGCAAGTGAGACTCCCCATTAAAGGGCTCTATGAGTGATCAAAAAGGGCTCAGGGTTCTAAGGATCATGGGATTTACTAAGTAAGGTCATAAGTACCTTCAGTGACGTTACAAGTACCTATAGGTACACTTACTTGCCTCATAAGAATTAGCCGACTTGCTAAGTCCTATGATTTTGTTTAAGTAGGGTTCCTTTAGGTCTTCTGCAAGTTCGCGAGGGTTTCTAAGGTTAAGGACTTGGGGGTTAGGGTTAGGGCGTGCAATGCTCACACCCTCGGGGCCCATGTACTCAGATTGTATATACATTGACCTCTTGTAGTCCTTGTTTATTTTCTATAGGGCCTTAGTATATGCTACATGGGTATATCATATGGATTCTCAGGATTATAGATCCCTCGTAGTGTGCTGTACGCTAAACCCTAAAGTTCGAGAAACCCATAGACCGTCTTAGAATTACAGTAGCATCAACAGATCTTTTCAAGGCACCTACTAAACCCCATACCCAGAGTGTGTAAGGTCAAGGGTGTGGGGTTCAGAGGTCATGGAGTTTCATCGAACTCGCGAGCCTTCTGATCTGGAAATTTTATAGTATCCTGCTATAGAATCCTTATAGAGCCCTTTAAGGAACCCTTGAAAGGATTCCAACTCTAATTATTACTTAGCCCCCTGGCATCGAGCCACGACTTGCATGAGACCTTGACTCTGAAAGCGTTGGCGTGCTCTCCGTGTTGGATTGAAAATGCCCAACTCAACGCTGAGATTTTGGGTTAAACCTTGTCGACATGAAAGAATCCTAAGCCCATCTCCACTGCAGGTGATGAATGCACAGGCTGACGAGCTTTGCCGCCGATTTCGCTTCAAGGAGCCACCGGGGCTGCGGACACCAATACAAAGGTAGTAATACTCAGACCCCCAACTACCTACTAATTTGAAACGCTGCGCGTCCTCCGCCTCGGCCCGGCTGCACGCGCATGCGGCGAGTGGCTACTATCTGCAGCAAGCTCTTGTAGGAATTCAGGTTTGAAACTCGCTTGGTACTGCAGCCTTAAAGGCGAGCCCCAACACATAAAGATGCTACATTGCAGGGCCACCAGCTTTAGGGTTGAGGGGTCGGGGTTATTATGAGCCCTGAACCCTAAATGCGCTGCACCCCAGAGCCCTGTTCGGATCCTTCAGGCCTGCGCTAGACCCTAAACCCACTGCACTCGGGAGGTGGGGCAAGCCCAACCAGCCCTCCTAAATCTGATTGCAGGGTAAAGGGGGCTTTAGGCTTTAGGGCTTTAAGGCTGTGGGTTTAGGGTTTAGGGGTTCAGGGTTTAGGAGTGTGAGTGTAGGGCCTGTGTAAGACACTAATGTAAGTAAGCCCTATACGCTCTCATTTCTCAGAAGTGAGGGGGCCCAGCGGCAAGAGGGGCTTGTCGAAACTCTAAACCCAAAGCCGTGCGCACACCAACAAGCTGTCTGGCAAATCACAAACGCCTTGTAACGTAGGATGAGCCCGGAATTCTACCTATCTTAAGGGAGAAATGAGCTGGAAACAAACCCGGGAAGGTTGTATGACTGGTATCTTATGCCATCTAATTAGGGTTTATAGTGCAAGAGTTACAGCCCCGTTTTCTTGAAGGGTCTCTGGGTTCTTAGGTTAGGCGGCTTTGGTCAATATTGGTCAATGTGATCACGAGATATTCGGGTTGCCTGTCTTCGGACACGAGGCGAAGATGCGAGCATAAGAGTGAAAACGGGCGTAAGATTATGATGATATCAGGGCCCTTTGGTAGCTACAATACGGTTCCTTTGACGGGGTTCCCCTTGTGTTGTAGTTCAGGCTGTATACATAGGGCCTTAATGTTGACAAAGGGTTTGTGTTTGTGTGTATGCAGAACAAGACGGGGCCCGAAGGACTAGCACTGTACATTTGGCGTGACATCTAATAGATCCAAATTTCCAGAGGCTCCATGTGCCCATATTGTATATACTTGGGCGTTATTGTGCGTCATTGAAGGCCGCTAAGTATATAATGTGCGGGTACACGGAGCCTCAGGTTTTGGCGTACTTGCACTCAACAAGTAGGTTCTAGGTAGGTCTGTAAATAGCTCACACTGAGTGTACTTAGCAGTCCACCTCTACCAAAAAATACTTCAGCAACAACAACAACAACAACAGCAGCTTGAACCCCATTGCAGCAATGCAAGATCTAGCAAGCAGAAATACGCCGAAAGAACAGCCCTTCAACGTGATGCTAAGTTCCAAAAGCCAAGACCCCGACAACACAAGGTCATTATTCACGATAGGAAAAACAACACTGGGAATACGATTGAGCCAAACAAGGCAGGTTCATGAACGACAAGAAAAGAAAAACAGAGATGCAGCAAGCAGGACACGGAGCTGCGGCGCCAAGTTTCCCGGACTGATGGCTCTTGTTTTGGGCTGTTTCGTCGGGATGTATTGGTTACTCAGGGTTTTCGATGTGGGTGTTGGTGCTTTCCGTTGCGCGCTTAGGAGTCTTAGGCCATACGGTTAGTGCGGTTCCCTAAGGGTCCATGTACTCATATAGTATATACATTGGCCTTAATGTAGTCCCTATATAGGTACATTGGGGCCCATGTATCTCTATATGGGTACATGGACCCTTAGGGTTTTGTTTCATCGGGAACCCTTCAAGGAGCCCTGAAAGGAACCCCGTGGGTACGTGGACCAGACCCTAAACCGACCTAAACCCTGATTCTTCAGGGGACTAGGATGCCCAGTAGTACCCTTATTCCTTTTTTGTAGTCCTAGGTTCCTTATAAAGTTACCCAATACCAAAAAGAGAGGCCTTCTTGTTCTTGGGTTACTGGGTATCCTAGGGGACTTAAATGGAAGGCTGTTCAGTGGTACACTTCATACGTTCAGGTTTCTGGGTTCCGATTATAGAATAAGAAGCCTAAAACGTATGAACTTTTTCCCAGTGGGTTACTGAACAGCCTGATTCCTGAGGGGCTGGACAATGATATTCAGACTTTCCTTCTCCGAGCTCATGGGGTTCGTTTATGGGTTCTGTAGAGGGTGTGTTGTTAAAGGTAGTTTTTGTTAGGAGTTGCAGGTCTTATGGAAATTCCTGTGGGGGTTCCATAGAGTTCTTCTTTAATGGTAGCTACTTAAGAATAAAGCTACTTCAAGGGTTTAGTCTTAAGAGTTCTAGGTTTCATCGAAATTTTTTTGAGGATGTCCTTTAAAGGTTCCTCTTTTGTACTAGATCCTTTGCTTTTCTGTTGCCCACCGAACCCATTTAGAGGACTTACATATGATAACCCCTCCAAGGAAGCCTTAAAGGATCCCCTCTGATGAAGTAACCCAGATCTTCCGATACCCCTCAAACAAGGAATAGACCTTAAATCAGATTCGGGATCCTACTATAACTTAAGGTATATTCCTCATTTGAGGGATGTGGGAAGGTCTGGGAGCTACGTTCGTAGTATGTGGGTACATCGACACGTAGAGCTTTCTTAAAGGATCATGGGACTTAGTAATTAGGGTTACAATTAGGGTA